AAATGCAAATGAATTACTTAAAAATCATACAATGTGATTTTCTGGATTTTTGTTTTAGATTCCGTCTCTCACAGTTGAAGTGTACCTATGATAAAAATGACAGACCTTTACATGCTTTGTAAGTAGGAAAACCTGCAAAATCGGCAGTGTATCAAATACTTGTTCTCCCCACTGTATGTGTGAAACCCTACATCCTAACCTGAGCACTCCGTTCTGCCACCTCTGATCTCTTGGTCATCCCAGCCCTACGGGAGGTCACTTCCAGCTCAGCCCAGTCAAAGCTATTCTCTGTCCTAGCACCCCAATGGTGGAACCAGCTTCCCCCTGATGCTAGGACAGCAGAGTCCTTGCCCATCTTCTGAAAACGTCTGAAACCCTACCTCTTCAATTAGTATCTTAAGTAATCTCAGTCTTATCTCCCTAACAACCAATTATGTGTATTGACAACAACAAACAGCCCAGCAAACCGGGAATATTCCCAGAACATTCCCATTAAGTTAGGATTTGAGCTAACATTAGGATGATAACGTCCCACAAACATTCAAAGAATGTTTTTGATCACCAAATATAAGAAAATGTTAGAAATTAAATATCCTTTTAACATTCTCCTAACATTAACTAAAATGTTCACAACATCTGTAAAAACTACCACAGAACATTCCAGGTTATCATTAGGTTGCAAGGGAATGTAATAACAGTGCTCCGATAATGTTCTTAGAACATACTGACAACAAAATGTGGGAGCAATAGAAGTGGTTCTGAGGAAACATTACAGGAACGTTCTGGATGTGTTATTCAAAACACCCATAACAACAAGCAGGGAATATTCCTACAATGGTCTCATAACGTTATACTGTGACATTATGACGTGATGGTTCTAATAAAGTTCACTGAACACATTTCAGCAATAAAATGTTGGAGTTGTTCTAAAAAAACATTCCTGGAATATTCAGTTAATGTTGATGGAGATATTACTACTAACATCTATAACAACAAACAAGAAACATTCGTGCTAGACTTTTATAAAGTTATTCTATAAGGTTATGACATGATGATCTAGGGGCCTCATTTATCAACTGTGCATACATTTTGTACAAAGTTCTGGCGTACATGGAGATTCTAGGATTTGCGTGCACACAGTATATGCTTTCATTGATAAATCAGAGCCATATTATATTTGTGCACTCGTGAGCGAGCGATACAACCCCGCCTGGAAAACCCCCTCTATTCACCTTTTGGTAACACTTTACTTGACACCCAGCGTGATAACACATTATGACATGGTCATAAACATGTCATAAGATGTCATAACAGCTGACATAACTTGTCATAACCTGTTATAATATGGTCATAACACTGTCATGACACATATATTTAGACCTGTTGTGACATATATTGCGTTATTTTATGGCTGGTTATGACACCTATCTCTTGTCATATCCCCACAATGTTCCCGAAACTTAAATAAATGTTTTAAGAACTTTTAAAGAACATAGAAATGTGTTCCGGGAACGTTCTTGAAACATCAGGCAAATTCTTTTTCAACCTAATAATTAAGTTTGTGATGTCCCCACAATGATCCCACCCGACTGTTCCCACAAACGAATGAAACATTCTAGGAGCCTTTAAAGAACAGACAAAATGTTTTCTGGGAACGTTCTTGAAATGTCAGGCGAATGTTTTATACGAACATTGTATAATCATCATCAACTGGACAGTTTTTGTGTTGTGAGAACATTTGCCGCAACCTAACAAATGTTCTAGGAACGTTCACAGACCAATTGTGGTTTGCTGGGAAGGCGCTCAATTTAAATAATGAAATATTTGGGAATATAAAATACATTTTGATTTGTTTAACACGTTTTTGGTTACTACATGATTCCATATGTGTTATTTCATAATTTTGATGTCTTCACTATTATTCTACAATGTAAAAAATAGTAAAAATTAAGAAAATCCCTTAAATGAGTAGGTGTGTGCAAAATGTTGACTGGTAGTGTACGTGCTCCATTGCACTTTTTAGCCAGTAGTTCTGAAAGTAGTACCCACGAGCCAAAAGTGGTCCCCGAAAATTGCGTACTAGGTCATATGTGTGACTCGTTTCAGGAAACTAGGTGTATGTCGCACGTCACTACTTCACAGGAGAGCTATTTGAAGGTAAACTTCTTTTAAAAATCAAAATGCGTTTTCTTGGCAGGAATGCCTTCTAGGATGTGAACTTTCATGTGCCTTAATAACAAACTTGTATGCCATCTGTAAATACGAATACAATTGTTAAATTATAAGCCTAGTTGGTTTAGCCACGGAAAAAGACAGGAACCTTCCCTCTAGCCATGATTGGCTGAGATATTGGGTGGGCTGGACATGCCGAGAGATGAGTTCGTATTGGTCTGCCATGTAGCACGCTTCTGTCTATAACATGAGCCAGTCAGTATGTGTAGGTAATCCTTTCTAACGCAGTTTAAAAATATATATATCACGTAGTAGAACTGCAAAAGTGTTGCTCGCCACTTTCTGGAGGACTGAGTTTTGAAATTAATGGAATGTCCAGTGGAAATAGAGTATGATAGCTAAGGAGATGGAGAAAATTCAGGCGTTTGATTGCAAATATGCAGAGGATGTCAAAAAGAGAACACACAGAAGTCTATTGCATAAAACACCTGTCTCCGGATTACATCTTCAAACTAAGGGCAAGCATGGCATCCGTGACAGAGAAGGAGAAGCGTCCATCCATGTTTACAGATAGTCTAGCTAGCTACATTTTCAGATATTACACGTTTCTAATTTTATCAGAAAGTCATTTTTATTTCAAGTTAAAGCGTACTGTTAGCTATCTAGCTAACGTTAGCTGGCTGACTCGCTAGCTAATGTTACGTGTATGATCTTTGTAGTAATATTATTCATATCTCAGAGCCATTTGCATTTCTAGTTATAGCCTAATGCTAGCTAGCTAACATTGAACCTGGTTGGTTAGCTACCTGCAGATTCATGCAGTGTAGTAACGTTATGAGTTGGGATTATGGTTCATTGTTTAGCTAGGAAGTCACTGCGACAATAAACCAGCCTTTAGTTTTGAAATCTTGAAAACCTCACATGTGAATCCTTAAAGAGATTGGTTGGGGCTAAGGCTTAAGAGGGTGTGAACGATGCTGAATGGGTGTAGACAAAGAAGAGTTCTCCAGTAGGTTTACCAAAACATTCAAGGACCATTTCCTCAAAAGTGAGGTTACAAGTTTATCAACTTTCAAAGCAGAATTATTTTCCCATTGTTCCTCAACTTTAGAGTGCATGATATACCATTTTCTAGCTCTGAGTCTCTACTTTTATCCAATGTAAAAAAACACTATTTCAAATGTTGCTACATAAGACCGAATCGAGCAGGTCAGTCACATATGTGCACCACACCATTGCTCTCTCTTTCTCACTCTTCTGCTCTACCTTTCTCAAAGCTACCACAGCCCCCAGCCCCCCTCTCCTCAGATGTACCACAGAACCCCAGCCCCCCTCTCCTCAGAGGTACCACAGCCTCCCAGCCCGCCTCTCCTCATAGGTACCACAGCCCCCCAGCCCCACTCTCCTCAAAGGTACCACAGCCCCCAGCCACCCTCTCCTCTCTCACAGATGCAAATTAGGCTTTACACCATACAGTGTAAAAACAACACCCAAAAATTAGTTACTGTAACACTACAGGTGTTAATTTCTTACACAGAGAAAGATGAACAGCGTCAGCACTAAGCAAAGCGTTAACTGTACACTGAAGAGTGTGGACCCATACAGACACTGGAATAGTGTTACATTTAACACTCTCAGTGTTGATTCAACACTGGTGAATTTGCTGTGTACCCTTAGACGCGCGCACACACATCCTGACTAACAGTAATAGACAGAGGAACTGAGCAGATTGAGGACCAGGCTGGGTGCAGTGAAGTGTGATGAATGCTAAAACACATCCAGGTCTTAAGCCCCCCCCCATCAATAATTCATCCTTACTCAGGTACAGGAACAGCACATGACATGGCTAAAACTAGGGCCAGGAATCTTTCCTGACCATGTGATATGTCCAGGAAAAACTCTTGGCCCTACTATATGTGCTTCTCAGCTATCCGTACATCATCATATATCCCAGTGTGCTGACCCAAGCCCTATCCAAACTACCACTTCGAAAAGTGTCTTTCTTTCATTAAAAAACCTTGCAGAAATAATCTTGTTCAAATTCTCTGGTTTATTTATATATTTAATAAAACAATGATTAATGTTTTCCAGCCATCATGAGTGTGTTCCTTTGCAATTTGAACATTAAACTTGAAGAAAATACAAACTTTAGTTTTGTCTTTGAAAACAACAAATGAAATGTGCAATACAAAAATACCTTTTAAAATAGCACCTTTTCTCTGTCAGGTAAAAACATGCAGAGTTTAACATGAATCATTTGGACACACAAAACACTTTTTCCCAGGTAATAAAAATATACATTTATATGTACATCACATTGGCAAAATATTATAACATACTGTATAACGTATTGTGCGTGCCTCTTCATACATACAGAACAGCTCTGTACTTTAGTGGACAGATTTGGAACTCATGACCTGTACATCCACCAAAGGCCAATCCTGCTTTCTGTGGTAAGGTTGCGTGAATGTTTGGACAACATTGTCTTCCAGTAATACGGTACTGCTGTAATCGCTAGATGTAATTCTGAGAGGGATTAAAAAGTTCGGCTGCAGAGTTAATGTAATATAAATGTACTTGAAATAAATAAGCAAATCAACAACATGACCTGTGGCCAAGAGACAAAATCCATCAATGCTATATATATATATATATATATATATATATATATATATATATATATATAAAAGAAGGACATTTCTAAGTGACCCCAAACTTTTGAACGGTAGTGTATATTCAAAACTTTGCCAATGTTTATAGTTTTAAATATTAAACAACCATTTGTTGACATTCTTTAGGGTGGAGAGGTGGTCATGACATGCCGTTCATCATCGCCCCTTCTTCAAAGGAACAGCACCTGCAACAAAAGACAATATGCCGTTTTTGGGATATATTTGCTTGTGTGTATGTGCAGCATGAATGTGTCTGTATTCAGCATGATGTACAGGTAACTGCCTAAATAAAGGAAACACTTGAGTAAATGAGGAATACAAAGTATATTGAGAGCAGGTGCTTCCACACAGGTGTGGTCCCTGAGTTAATGCTTAGGGTCATGTATAAAAATGCCCAGTTGCCCATTATTTTGGCTACCATGGCTAGAAGAAGGGATCTCAGTGACTTTGAAAGAGGGGTCTCAAAGGAGCATAGGGGATTGTGTGTGTGTGTCTGTGTGAGTCAGTCAGTTACCAGCTCTCAACCCAATTGAACACTTATGGGAGATTCTGGAGCGATTTGTGGTGGCCCAATGACCTATTAAGATACTACGTAGGTGTTTCCTTTATTTTGGCAGATACCTGTATGTGTATGTGTGTCTGTGCACAGTAGGTTACTATGTGTGCTTGCTTGTGTGTGTACCTGTGTCCTCCCCGAGGCAGCGCTCCTCACAGCTCTCCTGGTGGAGGAAGCGGTTGGCGTTGCCCTCACAGCCGCTGTAGATGAAGGGTCGGCAGGCCTGGACCTGGCTGTTAAAGTACCAGCGCAGAGTAAACCTCCCACAGTTGCCCTCCTCCAGGGGCAACACACAAGGGTCCACAGGAGCTGGAATACATCACACACACAGTGAGAGAGAGAGAGAGAGAGAGAGAGAGAGAGAGAGAGAGAGACAGGAGAGAGTAGAGATATAGAAGAGAGAGAGAGAGAGAGAGATCGACCGCTGCTGAGATGATGGAGTACGATCGATCATGAGAGACGATCTCGCCCTAGAGCGACGAGAGAGCGACTCTCTCATCGAAGCTCTCTCCGCCGACTCGAGTCTCCTTTCCCGCTCTGCCTCTGACTCATGAGCTCTCTCTCGAGTCTCTTACGTCGACTCTATCGAGAGAGAAAAAATCTGGAATCAGAACAGAGGCAAAGTCACAGTGAGGGGTTCAAGCTTCAAAAGCTACAGCAAGCTATAGGTGAATGTTAGTTGAATGTGATGTTAGTATTACTGTTACTGTACAGTAGCTTAACATTCTGTGATGATCATGAAATAAGTGATCATACAATTGAAGAGTTTTTTTCCAAAACGCTATATCCACAAATGTTTCACATTTGTGTTTTTTCATCAGAAAGTAATGCTTATGGGTACCTTTATGTGTTTGTACAATATTAGTGTCCTCAGATTTTGAATTCATAGATTTTAGATGTGTATTACATTTGATTTTGTTGCAAAACACTATATATCCATTGTTTAGCTTGAATGGAATGTTTGTGTCCTGCATAACAAGGTTATTATAGTTTTTATTTCTATTCGTTTTTAGATTTTTATTTAAAATTCAATTTAGTTTCAGTTCGTTTTCGGACCTGATTTGCTAGTTTTTATTTAGTTTTTGTTGTATATTTCTATTACTTTTTCTATTATTTAGTTTTAGGGACCGAAAGCATGAGTAGGAGGCTAGGGGGGCAGTAGTACACAGGTGATGGGTCAGGTCATAGGTTAGGCTAGGTTTAAAGGTCCTGAACAGTCATTCTGAAAATTACTTTTTCGCTCATGGCTAACTACCTGGAAGTTTGAAAAGACAGGTTAGTGGGCGGGGAGCTTAGATTCATGAGCTCGCCTTGACTGACAGTTTAAAAAAAAATGCTTATGTCAAGCAAATGGCTGAAGACCTAGCTAGCCAGTATCTAGCTAACACCAGACACAGATAAAAGGGGATACATATATGTATCTTTGTAATAGATGAATAGGGTAAACAGATAGTAAAACAATAAATCAAAAGGAAGTTTGTTTTAAAGTGTCTGTCCTATATCTGAGAGATATAAGAAGGATCAAGAAATTATATATTTTTTACCCATATTAAACCCCTTTTTTTGGCACTAAACTACTTCCATATATACTGTACTTCCATAATTTTTTTAAACTGGTACCAGGCTACCTTCAGATGAGTCTTGTGGGCGTCCTAGAGCAAAACAATGTACGTGTTTGTGAGAGTCTCATCTTTCCATGGGATGGTCATATTAGTTTGTATGCCAAACCATTCGGATGCTACAGATGTTTTCGTGAGAAGACCGATTTTCGGGATGTCTCCTGGTCCGACAAACACAGCTGTAGCTCGGCCACCTTCCACAACAGATGCAGAAGGCCGACATTGGCGGATGTGGTGGATTGAGACGCAGCCCATGCTAAATAAACTGCTATCTCTTTGGTGTTTTGATTTGTTATCGATAGCAATCAAATAAAAATAAAAATACATTCTCAACTGGTTATTTGGGATATTGTTTCTGCAAGTGTGTTTGTGTGTTCTTCAGAGATGAACATCAATAGCCATCATGCTAGAGAGGCCCGTGGCATGCAGAGATGGGGCGGCAGAGTTAACCCTGGAAACACCCCAGTAGTGGAGAGGACGAAGTGGGCGGGTTTACCTTCCCGTTTGACCTCTCTCCTGGGCCTCTTTGCTTTCAAAGGGTCAACAGTGACTCTCTCACCTGCCGACACGCAATCATACAACAAACATCAACATCTATCAACAGACACACTGTAATAAGCACACTAACAACACAAAACAGAAACACTTCAGACACATTAACACAAACAAATACAATCCTAACTTGAGAAACATGCACATAATTTAACAATTCATGTAAATCCCCCATTGTTGGAAATGAGAGATTTGCAAGGCTGTTATAAATACCCATGTATCTCAGGTTAGAAACAGACCAATGTACACTACACATACAAACATACTATCAACACAACAGAGACACCCAGGAAGCTGCATGTTGACGGCAGAGTGTGAAGGGGATACAGGGTTGGTCTGAGTGTGGGACTGGGTTCAGTATTTGAAGGTTAGTTAAGTGGATGGTTAGGCTGGGTATGTGAGAGGGATACAAGGTTGAGTATGTGTGTTAGACTGACCTCAGTGTGTGAGGTTGGATCCAAGGTTAAGGGTGCGCGTATGCGTGTGTGTGTGTGTGTGTGACATACCGTTGCTCTGATTGGCAGTGGGAGTTAGGTGGATGCTCTGCTCCATGGCCATGGGGTCGTCATAACTCTCTATAGAGTAGAAGTGTTCGTAGTCGGGGTCGTTGGTGTTCACCACCACACGCAGCTCACGCCCTACAACACAGCACAGGGCAGGGGCCGCCACAACGGTCACAAACCTAACCCCCGACCCCTCATTGACCACCCCACGGCCAGAGGGGGAACACCCTCCAACTCCTACAGCACAACACTGGAATTTCACCAAGGGCTCAGTCCACCAATGAATGGCAAGGGCCTTTATTCAGCTGGAATACCCCACTTTCAAACCCCCTAACTTTATAAATCAGACAAAACGCAGAGTTAAAAAGTGTGCAAAACTGTCATGGACAGACAGAGATATTATTAATGTTCAGAGATTATTGATGATAAAACGGGGCCAGTGTTCAGAGATCTCCAGACACAGCATCACCCTCGGCTGTTTGTTAAGACAGACCGACGGACACAGACAGCGACAGACAGATGGACAGACGGACAGACCGACGGACACAGACAGACAGACAGACAGACAGACATACATACAAACAAACAAACAGGCAGACAGACATGAGGAGTGATGAGGGACAGAAGGACAGTTGGACAGATGGATGGACACACTCACCGTCCTTGCCCTGCTTGCCCTGCCGGGCCAGCTGTTGCTCTGGAGCAGGACGTGCCCTGGAGCCGGGCAGGGTTTCTGTCACAACAATACCTGAGAGCCAGCCGGAACAGGGGAAAGGGGGGGAAGGAAGAGGGGCCAGGAACATAAAAACAACAACAGGACATCCAGGTTGGTCAGTAAAACACATAAACATAACCACCAGACACCACCGAAACCCACAAGCAGCCACACACACTAACATATACACACATGAGAACACTAGAGCCAGTGCTTGAAGTGGACTGAAATAGGTACCGGTTCTCATTTTGGGTGCCAGTACTATTTATATTTAGTTGCCGGTACTCATCATATTTTAGAGCCAATATTCTGTACAGGTCAGTTATGTACTAGCCCACTTCAAGCACTGAGTAGAACAGATACACCACCTACATGGACCACACCACATGACAACATAACCAAGACTACATATAGTACGGACACATGTCAGAACCAAAAACACATTGAGTAAATAAAACTAATAATAAAGCTAATCTAATTGAATAGTTAATGTCAAAGCTAACTATTGCTACTGCCCTTATACCACCTGGTCCATGTGTCAGACTGAGCCCCACTCACCTCCACAAGCTGAAAGACAAAGAGAGAAGGGAGGAGAATGTTACTCTCTCTTTCATTCAATAGCACTGAGAGGTTCTAAATGGACAGAGGATCTGAATCACACTCTGTGGAGCATTACGTTCAATAGAAATGTGTTAGCACCATTACTTGTTTCACTTGATGATGATGAACTGAAGTTCAACTGAGGACACCAGCATGTTAGATTGGGACATTGGGTTTTTGGCAGGTGACTTTAAGACTTACCACAGTGTTGGCTCATCTCTGTGCGGACGTATGCACGAATCTCATCCTCCTGCCACAGAGAGCCAGAGGGGAAGAGGAGGAGAGTAAGAGACAGGCAGAGAGACGTGACAGCATTATAATGTGTGTGTGTGTGCGTGCGTGGTTCTGCGTGTGTGCAGGTTGGTGGTAGAATCTGTAGATTTGGGCCCTGAGGCCAAGGTGAAGTACTAACCGTCAAGCCTGGCTCTCCTCTGTCTCCCTTGGCTCCATCTAGACCCAACTCCCCCTGCAGCAGAGACATGTATTAGAACACACAGCACACAACTGACATAAAGACACTGTTCTCAGAGCAGTTGGGCAAACTAATATCTCTACAACCTCAAGGTCAGATGTACTACTCACTGGGTACCTATCCGGCTCAAAGGACCAGATATAAGCACTGGAAAGGAACAACAGCTGTTTTTTCAGGGGTTAAATATATAATTTCTTTACAAAACCTTTCACAAAAACTTTTATTTGACCTTTTTCTAAATTTTCTGTCCACAAATGTTCCAAATAGTGCATAATGTTTAGTAAAAGGCCCCCAGTGTCAGAGTATTTTTTTTTTTTAACTAGGCAAGTCAGTTAAGAACAAATTCTTATTTACAATGACGGCCTACATCGGCCAAACCCGGACGATGCTAAGCCAATTGTGCGCCGCCCTATGGTACTCCCAATCACGGCCGGATTGTGATACAGCCTGGAATTGAACCAAGGTCTGTAGTGACACCTCTAGCACTGAGATGCAGTGCCTTAGACCGCTGCGCCACTCGGGAGCTGTGGCCAGTTTGAGGGAGTTATTGGGGGACAGTTGCAGTCAGATACTCTATGAGCAGACATACCACACAGTAGAGTGGTGACACTCACCTGACCGCCCCTTTCTCCTGGTATACCTGGGATACCACGTGGACCAATCTTGGTAGGACCAATAGGCCCCCTCTCCCCCTGACAACAACAACAATCATGTTGACCATGTTTAATTTACAACAACATAACTAGGTGGCATCAACAAACAAAGCAAGTGAATACCTTCTGTCCTTGGAGCCCTTCCGGGCCCTTAGCTCCAGCGAGCCCCTGAGGCCCTGTCAGTCCAGAGGCCCCGTCCACTCCTGTGGGGCCCGGAGGGCCAGGGATACCTGAGGGGCCCTGTAGAGAGGAAGAGGGAGAGGGAGGGAGCCACAGTCAGATACCATTTACAACAAGTTGTTTTCATCAGACTTTATATACAGCAGGGGAGAGTGGGGTAAGTTGAGCCAGTTTTCACATTCAGCATCACTCCGTCAAGGGTAATATAGTATTCTTTCTAAAAAATATATCTACATATATTTCAAGATGTTGTGTATCCCTGGAAATAATCAGAATGAATGTAAACATTACAGTTTTGAAAACATAGCTTGTCCCAAAAAAAGTTATCTTGGCACAACTTACCCCGGGTATGGTTTAAGTTGAGCCGCAGGACAGGGTAAGTTAAGCAGCCCACACATTTCTGTACTAAATTAAATATTACCACTAACTTTTTAAAGCCATGTCTGTCTTTATTTCCCAAACACAATTCAACACAATCACAATCGCTTTGTATTGTCTTTTAATAATTTTAAGCATCTTTTAACACAGCCTTAACAGCTAACAAACACTTTGTACTTTTTTAAACACTTGTAACATAGGCCAGGCCCTGTTGTTACCTCATATCCCAGCAATAATACTTTGCATTACACCTGTGAAGAAAACACTTAAGTTTGCTCAACTTGCCATTGGCTCAACCATTGGCTCAACTTACCCCAAGGCAAACATTTTTACTATATTAGCCCACACAGCTACAAAGATGCACTTTCATGCTAGGTTTAGAACCTCATATGGAAGCTTATAGAGACCCCAACTGATGTATTGAACAATCTTAAAAGTATTTACTTTAGATACAAGCATCATGAAACCTCTAACACAATATATTCATTTGACTTTTTTAAGTTTGTTGGACCTAACTTGCTTACCACTTTTTCCATGTGGTTTCTTCCTTCACAGACTCTATGAAATTATGACTTCTTCCCAAATATTTGGTCAAATGAATCATTTTGTGTATGGTTTCCTAGAAACAAGGGTGTTTCAACTTACCCCTCTGGCTCAACTTACCCCACTCTCCCCTACAGCTACAGTCAGTGGTCAGCTTGCGGTTTGGCTGTGGTCATATTCAGAGTATTTGTGGCGATCTGCACTTCATGAGTGGATTCATTTGTGGTTAAAGACTCACCCTTTCGCCCTTCTCTCCCTGAGTTCCTTTGGGTCCTAGTACTCCATCAATACCTCGGTCACCCTACAAACACACAGAGATTAAGTAACATACTAACACAAAGTTCTCTTGATACACACAATTAAGTACACACGCACACACATACACACAGACACCATACATAGACAAATACCTTGGGGCCGATCAGTCCCTCCTTGCCAGGGGTTCCAGTGGCCCCTGGAGGCCCCAAGTCTCCCTGAAACACACAGATACAACAATACCTGGTAACATGTCTACCCTTTGCTGATAAGGCTGAAAATACAGTTTTAATACTAAATTCCAGATTTCAGACTCAATGGTTTACTGTTCAGAGCCCTCTAAACATAAGGTTATAGTGTACTTCATGGGATAATTCTTACCTGCTCACCTTTCCTTCCAGGCAACCCTGACCGCCCATGGATCCCTGAATCTCCCTGAACACACACAGAGCCAGGTCATTAGAAAGACATAGCATGGTGCATTCCCTACTTTTAATCTTATAAAATGTTCTTATTAACAACTCAAGCAAGAGAGGTCATAGTTCCTGTGGTTATGAAAGACTCATAAAACTCACCATGCAACTACAATAATGGCCCCTCTGCATAAATAAAGTTGATTAAATGTAACTTCCTGTCACACATTTCTTCCCCTCTCCCCTCCTCATCCCTCCTTCTCTTTCTCTCCCACTGTACCTTTTCTCCTTTGGGTCCGTCTGATCCACACGCCCCCTTTGATCCTCGGTCGCCCTGGAAATGATCAGTTAGTTAGTTAGTCAGTCACAGTGGGACAAACTGCTCCAAACTGCCAATTCAGCATGAAAGAAAGCCTTTAGATAGACTTTACAGTCCTTTCAGCTGCCAAGCAAACCCAGACTAATGCACACAACCCCTCATTCACCAGGTGACTCATCAACAACAACTTTCAATCAGATGGTTGCCAATAACAACCAGCTGGTCAGAACCGGTCTGTTTTGGTGGGTGTCAGCATGGGCTTGACCAAGAAGTCACAGTGACCAGCAGAACTGAGTTGGACCATGTTTGACCATGAACACACCACTGTTTCAGTCTTAAAAGACAAAGCAGTCCATCCAGGATTTCACAGGATTTTTTTGTGATATTTGCAGGAAAAGAAATGTAATTTTACTGCGGCAATTCGGGCATTTTGCATGAAAATAGGTTATGATTTTGTCAAATTTATCGCAAAACTGAGCTGACGAGGGAAAATGTTTGAGGACGTGTGACTTGATTGAACCATATCATGAGGTAGATGTGTTTGATTGGTTTAAAATGCGAGCCCTCTTTTTGTCCTGCGGTGATGGGTCATTTTTCCCCCAATAATATTGTAATGATTTGACTGTTTTATGCACAAATATTGCAGTGATTGGTCAAATTCGCAAGCCCTCGCATAATATGCAGGATATTGTTGATTTAGCAAAATAAAACTGCAGTCGCTGAATCCTGGATGGATTAAAGGATGAGTAACTGGGTGATTTGTGGAGAATAATAGCAAGTGACAGATAAGAGGAAATTGAGGGGGTTTGACAGCATGGTGAGACTGAGTGGGCTGGCAGATATTGTGCCGTCTGGATTAGTCATTTCTAAACCCAGATTATCATGCTGTGATTATACTGCCGTTAGTGTGGCAAGGTCATGTGAAGAACACAGAACACATCGCAAAGTTTTCCTCAGACACGCTTTGTCTTTACTTAAGAAGAGGACAGTGATTCACACAGTAGGAAGGTTAGAGTGTTCTGCAATTAGTCTGGCAGAATGCCACATAAACGCACAAATTATATCTCCAACCGTCATTAAAGGTATTTATAGAAAATATGAGAATGAAAGCAATTTCCATCTGAATTTCAACTAATCCTCCACAACATGACGTCAGTTTGGAACCATTGAAGAGTTATGACCCGGTGGCTGGCACTGTCGCTTAGAGGATGTCTCAAGGTTGGCACTAAACTTCTTCAAGTGGGGATAAACTCAAAGACAGTTCAAATATGATGACAGACTGTACACACACACAAACACATGCATGCACACACGCACCAACACAAGCACCAGACACAGACACATTGCGCTGCATACACACACACACAAACACACGTGCGTACAAACCTTAATTCCACGCATTCCAGTTATTCCCACGTCTCCCTTATCCCCTCTAAAGCCTGGCATTCCATCTTTTCCTGGTGTACCCTAGGAGAAGAACACACACAATCGACCAATAAGAGAGTGAATGGGGAGTTAGTCATAGGGCCAGGAGTTTTTGCTGACCATGTGACCAGACCAGAAAGAACTTTGGATCCTAGTTATAGGCTATAATTAGGGCCCAGAGTTTTTCAATTCATGTGGTCAGGAAAAAGTATACATTGTTTTCATAACTGAGGGTGAAATGGGAGACTCACAGATTCTCCAGGTACACCAGGCTGTCCCGCCTCTCCCTTCAGACACAAAGACAAACCCATTAGAACACTGCATCTGTACAACAGTCACCTACAGCATCCAGTCTGAGCAATACGTTGTTCATTTTCACAGCGTACACTGTTGTGTGATGATCCATTCTCATACGATGGGTGGGAAAACTGTGTGCAATGTCATCCATAATACACAGAGGACATTATGACATTGATACTGACATTGATGAATATTGATTGACTATTGATGCTATTGGTTCTAACATAGATGACACAGCAGTGTTGATGAAAGCATTGACACAGATTAGGTCATGTAGTCACCTTTTGTCCTCCTGGACCTCTGGCCCCCTGGAACCCTGTAGAGCCCCTGTCTCCTGGCTCACCCCTCAGACCCTGTGGAGACACACACATGCACACACACAGTTATACACCTGTTATTAAAAGCCTGCTCCCAGATCTGTTTGTGCTCTTGCCAACTCCATTGCTGTCATTGTCAAGGCCAACCTCACCTGCTCCCCAGCTGGGCCGTCATTGCCTTTCAAGCCTTTCTCCCCCTGCACCCCTTTGGGCCCTCGGTCACCCTGATAAAGAAGAGAACAATAGTTGTAAATGACCACTCTGCACACACACAGACGCACAGAGAGATTAGCAGTGTCATAGTCAATACTTGGTGCTCTGAGGTTTTTTTGTGATCAATTGTTTATTAGATTAGTCAATAGTCAGTGTTGTGGGGTATTTAAGGTAGAGGGGGTCATTCACCGTCTCTCCTTTGTTGCCCTTCTCTCCTGTAGGTCCTCCCACCAGGAGAGTATCGCCCTGCAAGGGGACAACATCACTGTTAGGCAGAGCAGTACATGTATTTGTTTAAAATTATTTTCACAACTTTTTTCTTTTGAACGGTTTTATTCTCATTGTCTCTCATTTGCTCTTTTTCTGTGCTTCTCTACATTATTCTACCACACACACGTACACACAATATTACTCATCATACATTCAAATTCATACCTTTTCTCCTTTGTCACCTTGCAGTCCCAATTCACCCTGAAATATATTGAGAGCAGGACTCACTAGTCAGGCATGTCAATTTGATTCACTATTTTACATGAGCAGAATGCTCAATGGACAGCGAGCGAGAGAGAGAGAGAGCGAGAGAGAGAGAGAGAAAAAGAGAGCAAGAGTGTCACGCCCTGGCTCTGGGGACTATGTTATGTTGAGCCAGGGTGTGTAAGTCTATGTTTTGTATATCTATGTTGGCCTGAGTGACTCCCAATCAGAGGCAACGAGTGTCAGCTGGTTGTCTCTGATTGGGAGCCATATTTAACTATCGGTCTTTTCACTTTGTGTTGTGGTTTCTTGTTCCTTTTGGTTTGTGTGTATCGAAGGACTTCACGTTTCGTTCGTTGTTTTGATCGGGTGATCTGTTTAATAAATAATATGTACGCATTCAACGCTGCGCATTGGTCCTCCTCCTTAAGCGAACGTGACAGAAGAAACCACCAAGACAGGACCAAGCAGCGTGAGGAGGAGAGTGGATGGACCTTGGATCAGGGGAGTAGGAGTTTCGGCTGGGCCACGCTAAGTGAAGAGGAGAGAGGCTGGTCTATGAAGCAATGGATCGAGAGTCTGGCGAGAGCTAGGGAGGCCTGGTCCACGGGGAGGAGAGAACCCCAGTCCGGCCCATCCAAGCTTCCCGCACCAAGCCAGTGGTGTGCGTCGTCAGTCCGGCACGGCCCGTGCCTGCTCTCCGCACCAAGTCTATGGTGCGTTTCGTCAGCCCTGTCCGGCCCGTGCCTGCTCTCCGCACCAAGTCTGTGGTGCGCGTCGCCAGCCCAGTCCGGCCCATCCAAGCTCCCCGCACCAGGTCAGTGGTGCGCGTCGTCAGCCCGGTCCGGCTCGTTCCTGCTCCCCGCACCAAGACAGGGGTGCGCTTCGTCAGCCCGGTCCGGCCCGTTCCTCCTCCACGCATCAAGCCAGGGGTGTGCGTCGTCAGTCCAGCACAACCCGTGCCTGGGTCATGTCCGGAGCCGGATCCGCCGCCGAGGCGGAGTGCCCACCCGGTCCCTCCCCTGTTGTGGTTGTTTGGCGTGGCCGGAGTCCGCGCCTTTGGGGGGGGGGGTACTGTCACGCCCTGGCTCTGGGGACTATGTTATGTTGAGCCAGGGTGTGTAAGTCTATGTTTTGTATATCTATGTTGGCCTGAGTGACTCCCAATCAGAGGCAACGAGTGTCAGCTGGTTGTCTCTGATTGGGAGCCATATTTAACTATCGGTCTTTTCACTTTGTGTTGTGGTTTCTTGTTCCTTTTGGTTTGTGTGTATCGAAGGACTTCACGTTTCGTTCGTTGTTTTGATCGGGTGATCTGTTTAATAAATAATATGTACGCATTCAACGCTGCGCATTGGTCCTCCTCCTTAAGCGAATGTGACAAAGAGAGCATGATTGTCACGGTTTCGGCCAAGACTGCTCCTCCTCCTGGTTCGGGCAGGCTTCGGCGTTCGCCGTCCCCGGAGTACTAGCTGCCACCGCTCTATGTTTCGTCATTTGATTGCTTTTGTCTGTCTGTTACACCTGTGTCCATTTGTGTGTTGATTACGTGTCTTATAAGTTCCTTGTTTTGCACTAGAAGGATTGTGTGTTGTTATGACTGCCACTGTGTCGGAGTTACGTGTTTGCACCCTGTTTGTTTTGTGTTTAGTGTTTACGCGTGTGCGTAATTTTCCCTCGCCTCTTGGTGTATTTTGAGGTCGGGGTTTTTTCCTCGTAAACATTAGACTATTAAAGTCTGTTGGACTTCACCTCTGTGTCCTGCGCCTGACTCCTCCACCACATCCACATCGGTTCTAGTGACAGAACAACACACCACCATGGAGTCAGCAGGAACAGCGGCGGCACCCGAATCCCTGGAAGACCGGATCAACTACCAGGACACCATGATCCGGCAACTCGGGGCCGCCATGGACGAGGTGTCCAACACTCTGCGCCGATTGGTGAATCGAGAGGTGCCCACGCACTCTTACAACATCCCATCACCAACGGCCAGTCCTCCTCTCTCAGCACCGGAACCCAGTGGCATTCGGCTCTCGCTCCCGAGGGCATATGACGGTTCTGCAGCCGGGTGTCAGGGATTCCTCCTGCAGGTGGAACTTTACCTTGCCACCATACACCCGGCGCCCTCGGGATTCGAGAGCATCTCCGCCCTCATCTCCTGTCTATCCGGCAAGGCGTTGGAGTGGGCCAACGCCGAATGGAGGGGAATAGACGCCGCAACCATCACCTACGCGGAGTTCTCCCGCCGCTTCAGGGCTGTCTTCGATCATCCACCTGAGGGGAAAGCGGCGGGGAGAGCGTCTATTCCACCTCCGACAGGGGAAGAGGAGCGCACAGGAGTTCGCACTGGAGTTCCGGACACTAGCGGCGGATGCGGGGTGGAATGAGAGGGCCCTCATCGACCACTACCGGTGTAGCCTACGAGAGGACGTTCGTCGTGAGCTGGCCTGCAGGGACACCAACCTGTCGTTCGACCAGTTGGTGGACATTTCCATCCGTCTAGACACCCTGCTGGCTACCCGCGGACGTCCCGAGTGGGGGTCGTCCATTCCACCCTCCAGCACCTCCGAGCTGATTCCCATGGAGCTCGGGGGTGCTGGCGCTAGAGAGAGGAGGAGAGGAAACCCGAGGGGGGCCATCCCCTGCACCACCTGTGGTCGTGGAGGACACACCGCGGCCAGGTGCTGGGGAGGGTCTCCTGGGAGAGGTGACAACAGGCCACGCACTGGGGAGTCATTTCAGGTGAGTAGGCGCCCCACTTACCCAGAGCTTTCTGTTGGTCACATGAGTATTCCTGTGAGATTTCCACAGGTGGCACCTCATTCCCAGCATAAGGCGCTAGTAGATTCAGGCGCAGCTGGGAACTTTATTGATCGGGCATTTTGTTGTAGGTTAGGAATTCCCCTTCGGCCGGTAGAAGCTCCATTTCCTGTCCACGCATTAGACAGCCGGCCGTTGGGGTCGGGCCTGATCAGGGAGGTCACAGCACCACTGACGATGACGACGCAGGGGGGTCATGAGGAGATCATTCAGTTTTATCTGATTGACTCTCCTACGTACCCCGTGGTGTTGGGCCTTCCCTGGTTAAGCACCCATGATCCTACCATAGCGTGGCAACAGAGGGCTCTTATGGAGTGGTCTGCCCAGTGTGTAGGGAGATGTCTAGGTGTTTCCGTAGGGGCGACCTCGGTAGAGAGTCCGAACCAAGTGCCCGCACTGCGCATTCCCCCCGAGTATGAGGATTTAGCACTCGTGTTTAGCAAATCGAGGGCAACACGGCTACCTCCTCATAGACAAGGGGACTGTGCGATAAATCTCCAGACAGGAGCGGCTCTTCCACGGAGTCGTGTGTATCCCCTGTCTCAAGAGGAAACAGCGGCTATGGAGACTTACATAGCCGAGTCCTTGGCACAGGGATACATACAGTCCTCCACTTTCCCGGTCTCCTCGAGTTTCTTCTTTGTGAAGAAGAAGGACGGGGGATTGCGCCCGTGTATTGATTACCGTAGTCTCAATCAGATCACAGTTAAATACAGTTACCCACTTCCACTGATTGCGACGATGACGGAATCATTACGCGGAGCGCGGTTCTTCACAAAGTTGGATCTCAGGAGCGCGTACAATCTGGTGCGCATTAGGGAGGGGGATGAATGGAAAACAGCATTTAGCACCACCTCGGGTCATTACGAGTATCTCGTCATGCCATACGGGTTAATGAATGCTCCTTCAGTCTTCCAATCCTTTGTTGACGAGATTTTCCGGGACATGCATGGGCAGGGTGTAGTAGTTTACATCGACGAGATCCTAGTGTATTCTTCTACACGAGCCGAGCATGTAGCCCAGGTGCGCCGAGTGTTGAGAAGACTGTTGGAGCATGACTTGTATGTCAAGGCAGAGAAATGCCTGTTCTTCCAGGAGTCCGTCTCCTTTTTGGGTTATCGGTTGTCCGCGTCTGGTGTGGAGATAGAGGTAGACCGGGTATCGGCCGTGCGTAATTGGCAAACTCCAACCACTGTAAAAGAGGTGCAGCAGTTCTTGGGTTTTGCTAATTACTACCGGAGGTTTATTCGTGTCACGCCCTGGCTCTGGGGACAATGTTATGTTGAGCCAGGGTGTGTAATTCTATGTTTGATTTTCTATGTTGGTCTGAGTGACTCCCAATCAGAGGCAACGAGTGTCAGCTGGGTGTCTCTGATTGGGAGCCATATTTAACTGTCTGTCTTTCACGTTGTGTTTGTGGTTTCTTGTTCGTGTTGGTGTGTGTTTAACCATAGACGTCACGTTTTTCGTTTGTTGTTTTGATCGTGTGATCATTTAATAAATATAATATGTTCACCCGCAACGCTGCGCCTTGGTCTCTCCATGACGATCGTGACAGAAGAAACCACCTAAACCAGACCAAGCAGCGTGTCCAGGAGCCATCGCTGGCAGATCTCCGTGGCAGCCTCGACTGGGTCAAGCCTAGTGAGGAGCAGAGAGGGTGGACTTGGGACCAGTTGAGGAGGAGCTTCAACTGGGTCAAGCCCATTGAGGAGCTGAATGGCGAGAGTTGGAGACAGAGGAGCGAGAGTTGGGCGAGAACGATGGAGGCCTGGCCCACGGGGAGGAGAGACCCCCAGAAATTTTTTAGGGGGGGGCTCACGACGTCGGGGCAGCAGGAGGCCGCGATAGAGCGGTCCAGCGGGTTGGCAGAGGAGGCCGCCAGGTTACGGGAGTCACTGGTCACCAGGGGGAAGGAGGTTGTAGAGGCACGGCGAGAGGCACTGGCGTGTGTTGCCAGTCCGGTCCGGCCTGTTCCTGATCCTCAAGTAGGGCCAGTGGTGTGTGTTCCCAGTACGGTCCGGCCTGTTCCTGCCACTCCCACCAAGTCAGTGGTGCGTTTCGTCAGCCCGGCGCGGCCCGTTCCTGCTCCCCGCCCCAAGTCAGTGGTGCGCGTCGTCAGCCCGGTCCGGCCCATCCCTGCTCCCCGCACCAAGTCAGTGGTGCGCGTCGCGAGCCCGGTCTGGCCCATTCCTGCTCCCCGCACCAAGTCAGTGGTGCGCGTCGTCAGCCCGGTCCGGCCCATTCCTGCTCCCCGCACCAAGTCAGTGGTGCGCATCGTCAGCCCGGTCCGGCCCATTCCTGCTCCCCGCACCAAGTCAGTGGTGCGCGTCGTCAGCCCGGTCCGGCCCATTCCTGCTCCCCGCACCAAGTCAGTGGTGCGCGTCGTCAGCCCGGCTCGGCCCGTTCCTACTCCCCGCACCAAGTCAGTGGTGTGCTTCGTCAGCCCAGTCCGGCCTGTCCCTGCTCCACGCACCAAGCCTACGGTGTGCGTCGTCAGCCTGGTAAGGCCCGTTCCTCCTCCACGCACCAAGCCAGGGGTGCGCGTCGTCAGTCCAGCACAACCCGTGCCTGGGTCATGTCCGGAGCCGGATCCGCCGCCTAGGCGGAGTGCCCACCTGGTCCCTCCCCTGTGGGATTTAGTTGGCACGGTCGGAGTCCGCGCCTTTAGGGGGGGGTACTGTCACGCCCTGGCTCTGGGGACAATGTTATGTTGAGCCAGGGTGTGTAATTCTATGTTTGATTTTCTATGTTGGTCTGAGTGACTCCCAATCAGAGGCAACGAGTGTCAGCTGGGTGTCTCTGATTGGGAGCCATATTTAACTGTCTGTCTTTCACGTTGTGTTTGTGGTTTCTTGTTCGTGTTGGTGTGTGTTTAACCATAGACGTCACGTTTTTCGTTTGTTGTTTTGATCGTGTGATCATTTAATAAATATAATATGTTCACCCGCAACGCTGCGCCTTGGTCTCTCCATGACGATCGTGACAATTCGGGGTTTTGGACAGGTTGCAGCTCCCATTACGTCCCTGCTAAAGGGGGGTCCGGTTCGTTTGCAGTGGTCGGCTGAGGCGGACAGGGCATTTGTCAAACTAAAGAACCTGTTCACCTCGGCTCCTGTGCTGGCGCATCCGGATCCCTCTTTACCATTCCAAGTAGAGGTAGACGCGTCCGAGACCGGTATTGGGGCAGTTCTGTCACAACGGTCCGGCACGCCACCTAAACTCCGCCCCTGTGCGTTCTACTCCAAGAAGCTCAGCTCGGCGGAGCGCAACTATGATGTTGGGGACAGGGAGCTGTTAGCCGTAGTCCAGGCCCTAAAGGTGTGGAGGCATTGGCTTGAGGGGGCTCAACACCCTTTCCTCATTCTGACTGATCACCGTAACCTGGAGTACATCCGGGCAGCTAGGAGATTGAACCCTCGTCAGGCTAGGTGGAACATGTTCCTAACCCGGTTTGTTTTTAAGATCACATACATCCCTGGGTCCCAGAATGGTAAGGCAGACGCCCTGTCCCGGCGGTATGACACAGAGGAGAGGTCCAACGAGCCTACTTCCATATTGCCGGAGTCTTGTTTGGTGGCTCCGGTGGTATGGGAGGTCGATGCGGAAATCGAGCGGGCACTGCGTACCGACCCTACTCCCCCCGAGTGTCCTGTGGGGCGGACGTACGTTCCGCTCGAGATTCGTGATCGACTTATTTATTGGGCTCATACATCACCCTCCTCTGGACATCCAGGTATTGGCCGGACCGTGCACTGTCTTAGCATGAAATACTGGTGGCCAACGTTAGCTAGGGATGTGAGGGTTTATGTCTCCTCCTGCTCGGTGTGTACCCAGTGTAAGGCGCCTAGACATTTGCCCAGGGGTAAGCTACATCCCCTGCCCGTTCCACAACGACCATGGTCCCACCTATCGGTGGATTTCGTAACCGACCTACCCCCCTCCCAGGGGAATACCACCATTTTGGTCGTTGTGGATCGGTTTTCCAAGGCCTGTCGTCTCCTTCCCATGCCGGGTCTCCCTACTGCCCTACAAACCGCTGAGGCCCTATTTACCCATGTGTTCCGGCACTATGGGGTCCCCGAGGATATAGTGTCTGACCGAGGTCCCCAGTTCACCTCCAGAGTTTGGGGGGCGTTCATGGAACGGTTGGGGGTCTCGGTAAGCCTTACCTCGGGGTATCACCCAGAGAGCAATGGGCAGGTGGAACGTGTCAACCAGGATGTGGGTAGGTTTTTGATGTCCTATTGCCGGGACCGGCCGGAGGAGTGGTCTAGGTTCATCCCCTGGGCAGAGATGGCCCAGAACTCTCTCCGCCACTCCTCCACCAATTTAACACCTTTCCAGTGTGTTTTAGGTTATCAGCCGGTCCTGGCACCATGGCACGAGAGCCAGATCGAGGCCCCTGCGGTGGACGAGTGGATTCGGCGCTCGGAGGAGACGTGGGACGCTGCCCATGTCCATCTGCAGCGTGCCATCCGTCAACAAAAGGCGAGCGCCGATCGCCACCGCAGTGAGGGACCGGTGTACGCACCGGGAGATCGAGTCTGGCTCTCGACTCGAAACCTGCCCCTCCGCCTGCCCTGCCGGAAGCTGGGTCGGCGGTTTGTGGGGCCCTTCAAAGTCCTGAGAAGATTGAACGAGGTGTGTTACAGGTTACAACTGCCTATAGAGTATAAAAATATTAACCCCTCGTTCCATGTGTCTCTTCTCAGGCCGGTGGTAGCTGGCCCACTCCAAGAAGATGAGATAGGAGAGACCCCTCCGCCCCCTTTGGACATCGAGGGGGCCCCGGCGTACAGGGTCCGGACCATCTTGGACTCGAGGCGCCGGATGAGTGGTCTCCAGTATCTCGTGGAGTGGGAGGGGTACGGTCCGGAGGAACGGTGCTGGGTGCCCAGGAGGGACATACTCGATCCATCCCTCCTGACTGAGTTTCACCGTGGGCATCCCACGCGCCCGGGTCCGCATCCTCCTGGCCGTCCCCGAGGCCGGGGTCAGCGCACGGCTGGAGCCGCGCGTCAAGGGGGGGGTACTGTCACGGTTTCGGCCGAGACTGCTCCTCCTCCTGGTTCGGGCAGGCTTCGGCGTTCGCCGTCCCCGGAGTACTAGCTGCCACCGCTCTATGTTTCGTCATTTGATTGCTTTTGTCTGTCTGTTACACCTGTGTCCATTTGTGTGTTGATTACGTGTCTTATAAGTTCCTTGTTTTGCACTAGAATGATTGTGTGTTGTTATGACTGCCACTGTGTCGGAGCTACGTGTTTGCACCCTGTTTGTTTTGTGTTTAGTGTTTACGCGTGTGCGTAATTTTCCCTCGCCTCTTGGTGTATTTTGAGGTCTGGGTTTTTTCCTCGTAAACATTAGACTATTAAAGTCTGTTGGACTTCACCTCTGTGTCCTGCGCCTGACTCCTCCACCACATCCACATCGGTTCTAGTGACAATGATGCAAAATACAATAATATAATAATATTCACAATATTCACCTTCTCTCCCGTGCCTCCTTTGCCACCTGGAGAGCCCTGGTGAACACATATGCACGCATGCGAGCGCAACACACACACAGAGGAATACATTTATTAAGTACAGAACACACACAGAAATCCCAACATGTGTACCCCCACATGCACATCCTCACCAGCAATCATCACCATTATGGTCTTAATCATCCAAAACTACAACAAATATCTCTCTATATCCACACTGACTAGCACTCTCCTGTATGAGTAAAGAAGGTACTATAATAGAAGAGTTGCTGTCTGTGTCTCACCTGAGTTTAAAATGGAATGCCATGGGCACTCTACAATAACCAGCCCCCTTTCTAGAGGTTACCAGGCAACTAATGTGAGAGAGAGGCTGAGTATGTTCTTAATAATAATAATAATAATATGCCATTTAGCAGACGCTTTTATCCAAAGTGACTTACAGTCATGCGTGCATAAATGTTTTGTGTATGGGTGGTCCCGGGGATCGAACCCACTACCTTGGCGTTACAAGCGCTGTGCTCTACCAGCTGAGCTACAGAGGACCAGGTTTAGTGGTCTCAGCCTAGGAGAAAAGCCTCACTCTCAGTAGGACTAATGTATAGGAAGTGAAAGAGGGTCAGAGCCAGAGCCTAGCTGGCAGCTTTTAAAGGAGCTATGTAGAACAAGGTCTATATCACTAGATTAAAGTGGAGATAAAACATATCGTAAGGACAGATCTACTGCATTACTAGTGATATGTTCAGAGAAACAGGATATATCTATGTTCTATGTATGGAGCAGTAATGGGCATGACAATAATGGATTGCATTGATTCCTACAATCAAGGTATACTGTAGTAGGGATGGAGATTGAAACTATTTAAAGGAATACGCATGATGCTGACGTCTTTTGCTTTCATTACTTTTCCTTTCGTTTGAGTAATTTCTATTTTCTGAAGTGCACCGCTTAAGTAATATCATTATTTTGTTTACTGTTCTTTTGAACTCTATCTACATCCACTTCAGCTTTCCCACGTTCTTTCTCTCATTTTCCCGCTCTCTATTAAGTCGGGTCAATATCGAGGAATGGGCCAATGACCTCCAATAATTAACAAACAAACACAAACAAACACCATTCAGTGAGGGATTTATTTTTATCCCCTGCTGATTTTGTACGTTTGCCACTGACAAAGACATGATCAGTCTAATTTTAATGGTAGGTTTATTTGAACAGTGAGAGACAGAATAACAACAAAAAAATCCAGAAAAACGCATGTCAAAAATGTTATAAATTGATTTACATTTTAATGAGGGAAATAAGTATTTGACCCCTCTGCAAAACATGACTTAGTACTTGGTGGCAAAACCCTTGTTGGCAATCACAGAGGTCAGACGTTTCTTGTAGTTGGCCACCAGGTTTGCACACATCTCAGGAGGGATTTTGTTCCACTCCTCTTTGCAGATCTTCTCCAAGTCATTAAGGTTTCGAGGTTGACGTTTGGCAACTCGAACCTTCAGCTCCCTCCACAGATTTTCTATGGGATTAAGGTCTGGAGACTGGCTAGGCCACTCCAGGACCTTAATGTGCTTCTTCTTGAGCCACTCCTTTGTTGCCTTGGCCGTGTGCATTTTCAATGCCCTGGCTGAGGGAAGGAGGTTCTCACCCAAGATTTGACGGTACATGGCCCCGTCCATCGTCCCTTTGATGCGGTGACGTTGTCCTGTCCCCTTAGCAGAAAAACACCCCCAAAGCATAATGTTTCCACCTCCATGTTTGACGGTGGGGATGGTGTTCTTGGGGTCATAGGCAGTATTCCTCGTCCTCCAAACATGGCGAGTTGAGTTGATGCCAAAGAGCTCCATTTTGGTCTCATCTGACCACAACACTTTCACCCAGTTCTCCTCTGAATCATTCAGATGTTCATTGGCAAACTTCAGACGGCCCTGTATATGTGCTTTCTTGAACAGGGGGACCTTGCGGGCGCTGCAGGATTTCAGTCCTTCACGGCGTAGTGTGTTACCAATTGTTTTCTTGGTGACTATGGTCCCAGCTGCCTTGAGATCATTGACAAGATCCTCCCGTGTAGTTCTGGGCTGATTCCTCACCGTTCTCATGATCATTGCAAATCCACGAGGTGAGATCTTGGAGCCCCAGGCCGAGGGAGATTGACAGTTATTTTGTGTTTCTTCCATTTGCGAATAATTGCACCAACTGTTGTCACCTTCTCACCAAGCTGCTTGGCGATGGTCTTGTAGCCCATTCCAGCCTTGTGTAGGTCTACAATCTTGTCCCTGACATCCTTGGAGAGCTCTTTGGTCTTGGCCATGGTGGAGAGTTTGGAATTTGATTGTTTGATTGCTTCTGTGGACAGGTGTCTTTTATACAGGTAACAAGCTGAGATTAGGAGCACTCCCTTTAAGTGTGTGCTCCTAATCTCAGCTCGTTACCTGTATAAAAGACACCTGGGAGCCAGAAATCTTTCTGATTGAGAGGGGGTCAAATACTTATTTCCCTCATTAAAATGCAAATCAATTTATAACATTTTTGACATGCGTCTTTCTGGATTTTTTTGTTGTTATTCTGTCTCTCACTGTTCAAATAAACCTACCATTAAAATTATAGACTGATCATTTCTTTGTCAGTGGGCAAACGTACAAAATCAGCAGGGGATCAAATACTTTTTTTCCCTCACTGTATAGGTGGTAGAGTCAGAATTGGTCATGATAAATTGCCATTTGTGAAAAGAGCAGTAAAAAGATAGTGATGTTAACAGTAGGTAAGCTAGACAGACGTAGAGATACAGAAAAGACAGACAGTGATGAATGAGTAGAGAACAGAAAAATAATATGCGATTTACCGCTGGTCCTCTCTCCCCGTTCTGACCACCTCGACCCTCCTCCCCCTGCAAACATCAGACACATAAATCTGTAAATCCCCCAACACACACACACAACTCTTCAATACAACACGTAACTGTCAAAATTAGATACAATTGAAATTCAATCTCAAATGGTGATGTGGTTTTACCCTCGGTCCTGGGTCTCCTCTCTCGCCTCTCAATCCAGGTACTCCCGCTCCAATCGCTCCCTAAAGACGGGGATTTATGAGCATCAACATCCTATTTGATAAGATATTATACAGTATGGAAGACGAGTTTATCTCATCGTTAACTCACCTTGTCCCCTTTGCCTCCAGCAGCGCCCGGTGAACCCTGGTAAGGAAAAAAAGGTATACTGATCATGAACACTTACATCACACAAACGCAAATACACAAAGTCTTTCCCACTGGGCACAGACGTCAGTTCAATGTCTAGCTTTGATTTACATTTGGTTGAGTTGTCAACTAACGTGAATTCAACAAAACTTTTCACCATGTCATTGGATTTAGTTTAAAAGTTGGGTGAAAAAAATACGAAATGCCGTTACGTTAATGACTTTTTGCAAATCCAATTAGTTTTCCATGTTGATTCAATGTCATCACATTGATTTCTTAGGTGGAAATGACGTGGAAACAACGTTGATTTAACCAGTTTCTGCCTAGTGGGTTCTCTCTCTCTCACACACACAGTCAATTAAGTCCTCATGATGCAATGCAAAGTCTACTCACAGCTAGGCCGGGGGGTCCGGGGGGCCCAGGAGCTCCAGGGGTCCCTGCCTGACCAGTAAAGCCTTGGATACCCTGGAGATGAGACAACATAAACATTCCACACAGAGCAGGGCTAAAAAGACAAGACCACACCAGTCACCCATGTAATAACTACAGTATAGTGGTGATTTAGGCCCTCTCACCCTGGGTCCTAGAGGCCCTGGGGGCCCTGGAGTTCCGTTCTCTCCTCTCAGGCCGGCCAGACCAGGGGTCCCTGCTACGCCCTGGGCTCCTGGAGGGCCTGCTGGGCCCGGGAGACCTGTGTCCCCCTAAAACACAAACACACAGGGGTTCACATTCACTGTGGCAATGGTGTAGTTATGGAGATGTTTAGCTGAGGCAAGAGGAGAGACTGAGAAGTCTGCATATGTTAATATGAACATACTTTATGTGATTTATGTGTTTATGAGAACATTCAGAAGTATTGTCAAGTCCATGATACTAACATTTAACCCTTGAGGTCCCAGCTGACCAGGAGGCCCTGCCAGTCCAATGCCTCTCTCTCCCTGCAACACATATCCTGTCAGTTCTGTCACATGGTTAGCAGCCAGGGAAAGACAGACACAGGGAATCAGCTGGTGATGTGTATTACCTTGTCTCCTTTAGGCCCTGCTGGTCCTCTGCCCCCCTGAGAGAGAGAAAGTGGATGGAGAAGTTAGTAACAGTGACATCTGTTAGATATGTTAAATATTTGATGTTACAAAATGTCAAAGGGTGACTCACATCTTCTCCAGGCTCCCCATTTTCACCAGCAGCTCCCTATTTCAACGAGACACAGACACACACACAATAACATCCCTGATCACCGTGTCTGTGAATGTTGAGTAACGTTCTGTGTTAAGTGACATTACTCACCCTGTCCCCTTTGATGCCTGCAGGACCCTTGTCTCCCCTCTCACCCTAAAGGACAACCATTTTAGAAAAATTGCATTTTAGAAATATGTAATTTAGCAATCACTAAACACGTTCTTGTTATAATAATCGGTATAGTATAATATGTGTAATAAACGCCTGAGTAATAGCTGAAATATGTCAATAATTGTTTCAACCAATGAGACTCACCCGTAGCCCTGGCAGGCCTCTCTCTCCCACTGTCCCAGGTAAGGTCACACCAGGAGGTCCCTGAACCAATTATAACCAATACACTTCAATTATATTAAGCTCTGTTCCATCCTATTCTATTGCACATAGTTCCTCACCTTAGTATTACCATTCTGCTCTATTCTCTTCCTTATTATTAACGGGATAACGTGAGATTTTGGCAATTAAGCCCCATTCTAGCTGTTCCAGTAGACTTCCAGTCATTGCGCTAACACTAGTTAGCAATGGCTTGCTAAACTACCTTCAAACTGCATGCAGGGACATAAAAATTGTATCCATGAGTTCATCTGACTCTTGCATTATCGCACTATTCCTTTAAAGCAGGAGTGGGCACACTTTTTGGCTTGAGGGCCACATCGGGATTTTGAAATTCAACGGAGGGTCGCTGAATTTGCAGGCCAGAAAATTGGTAGTTACTGTAAAGAAATAGGTCCATTAAAGTTTCTACATACTTTCAATCTAGTTTTAGGCGTTCAAGAGTGGCCTGGAGTGTTTTCTAATCCAAAATAATAATTGTGGTGTTTACTCAAACCTCCCGAGGGCTGGATGGAATCCGGACCGGCCCACTGGCCGTAGTATGCCCACCTCTGCTTTAAAGAGCGGGGAAGTCCAAGTGGATAGAAACAGTTAGAGAGAGACAGGACAGATAAGCATTGCGTAATAAGGACATTGGTTGGATTCGAACCCACGCCAACACGGCATATACAGTGCATTCGGAAAGTATTCAGACCCCATGACCTTTACGACATTTTGTTACGTTACAGCCTTATTCTAAAATGGATTACATTGGATTACATTTTCCTTATCAATCTACACACAATGAGCCATAATGACAAAGTAAAAACTGGTTTTTATAATATTTTTGAAAAATTATTAAAAACGGAAATATCACATTTACATAAGTATTCAGACCCTTTACTCAGTACCTTGTTGAAGCACTTTTGGCAGCGATTACAACCTTAAGTCTTCTTGGGTATGACGCTACAAGCTTGGCACACCTGTATTTGGGGAGTTTCTCCCATTCTTCTCTGCAGATCCTCTCAAGCTCTGTCAGGTTGGATGGGGAGCATCGCTGCACAGCTATTTTCAGGTCTCTCCAGAGATGTTCAATCGGGTTCAAGTCCAGGCTCTGGCTGGGCCACTCAAGGACATTCAGAGACTTGTCCCGAAGTCACTCCTGCGTTGTGTTGGCTATGTGCCTAGGGTCGTTGTCCTGTTGGAAGGTGAACCTTGGCTCCAGTCTGAGGTCCTGAGCGCTCTGGAGCAGGTTTTCATCAAGGATCTCTGTACTTTGCTACGTTCATCTTTCCATCGATCCTGACTAGAAAAACATCCCCACAGCATGATGCTGCCACCAACAAGCTTCACCGTAGGGATGGTGCCAGGTTTCCTCCAGACGTGATGCTTGGCATTCAGGCCAAAGAGTTCAATCTTGGTTTCATCAGACCAGAGAATCTTGTTTCTCATGGTCTGAGAGTCTTTAGGTGCCTTTTGGCAAACTCCAAGCGAGCTGTCATGTGCCTTTTACTGAGGAGTGGCTTCTGTCCGGCCTGATTGGTGGAGTGCTGCAGAGATGGTTGTCCTTCTGGAAGGTTCTCCCATCCCACAGAGGAACTCTGGAGCTCTGTAAGAGTGACCATCAGGTTCTTGGTCACCTCCCTGACCAAGGCCCTTCACCCCGATTGAACAGTTTGGCCGGGCGGCCAGCTATAGGAAGAGTCTTGGTGGATCCAAACTTCATCCATTTAAGAATGATAGAGCCCACTGTGTTCTTGTGGACTTTCAATGCTGCAGAATTGTTTTGGTATCCTTCCCCAGATCTGTGCCTCGACACATCCCGTCTCGGAGCTCTACGGACAATTCCTTCGACCTCATGGCTTGGTTTTTGCTCTGACATGCACTGTCAACTGTGGGACCTTATATAGACAGGTGTGTGCCTTTCAAAATCATGTTAAATCAATTGAATTTACCACAGGTGGACTCCAATCAAGTTGTATAAACATCTCAAGGATGATCAATGGAAACAGGATGCACCTAAGCTCAATTTCGAGTCCCAGAGCAAAGGGTCTGAATCCTTATGTAAATAAGGTGCTTCTGTTTTTATTTTTAAATAAATTTGCAAACATTTCTAAAAACCTGTTTTCACTTTGTCATTATGAGGTATTGTGTGTAGATTGATGAGAAAAAATAATAATTTAATCAATTTTAGAATAAGGCTGTCACGTAACATAATGTGGAAAAAGTAAAGGGGTCTGAATATATTCCGAATGCACTGTATACGCTCTAAGCGCTAGACCACCCCAGGCCATTCTGCAACATTCAAAGCCATTTACAATACATCTGTTTGTTGGCCTATGATTCAGTATAATTCAGTATGGTGATTCACTGATTCTGAGTTTTATCTATTGTGTCTCCATACACCAGTTAGACAGGGTGAGGTTGTAGTCACCATGACTGGATGTTACCACGACTGGAAGAGTAACCATGACAATCACTCACCTGTGCTCCTTTCACACCAGGGGGTCCTGCTACAGCCTGTGATGGGGATATATAGGGAGAACATGATGTGAAACTCACATATCTGGATTAGGTTGTTTGCAAATGCACTGAAGATGGACAGCAATAGTAAAAGATTGAGCAAACTCCCACCCACTTTGTTCTGCAAAATATCACTTTTTTATTGCGCTACCGTTTGGGCCTTTTGACCTTCATTAGAGCATCAGACCATGAACAGGAGTGTAATTTGGTTTTCACACTAGAGGAAGAGTTTAACAGATGTGCAGTCTATAGGTACAGTACATCTCATCCTTTCAAAAGCTCTAATTTCTCAAGAACCTTAGTACATCCTGCTAAAGCTTCCGGTGAATGATGTGAATGTATGTGTGTGTGTGTGTGTGTGTGTGTGTGTGTGTGTGTGTGTGTGTGTGTGTGTGTGCGTATATATGTATATACAGTGAGGGAAAAAAGTATTTGATCCCCTGCTGATTTTGTACGTTTGCCCACTGACAAAGACATGATCAGTCTATAATTTTAATGGTAGGTTTACTTGAACAGTGAGAGACAGAATAACAACAAAAGAATCCAGAAAAACGCATGTCAAAAATGTTATAAATTGATTTGCATTTTAATGAGGGAAATAAGTATTTGACCCCTCTGCAAAACATGACTTAGTACTTGGTGGCAAAACCCTTGTTGGCAATCACAGAGGTCAGATGTTTCTTGTAGTTGGCCACCAGGTTTGCACACATCTCAGGAGGGATTTTGTCCCACTCCTCTTTGCAGATCTTCTCCAAGTCATTAAGGTTTCGAGGCTGACATTTGGCAACTCGAACCTTCAGCTCCCTCCACATATTTTCTATGGGATTAAGGTCTGGAGACTGGCTAGGCCACTCCAGGACCTTAATGTGCTTCTTCTTGAGCCACTCCTTTGTTGCCTTGGCCGTGTGTTTTGGGTCATTTTCATGCTGGAATACCCATCCACGACCCATTTTCAATGCCCTGGCTGAGGGAAGGAGGTTCTCACCCAAGATTTGACGGTACATGGCGCCGTCCATCGTCCCTTTGATGCGGTGAAGTTGTCCTGTCCCCTTAGCAGAAAAACACCCCCAAAGCATAATGTTTCCACCTCCATGTTTGACGGTGGGGATGGTGTTCTTGGGGTCATATGCATCATTCCTCCTCCTCCAAACATGGCGAGTTGAGTTGATGCCAAAGAGCTCGATTTTGGTCTCATCTGACCACAACACTTTCACCCAGTTCTCCTCTGAATCATTCAAATGTTAATTGGCAAACTTCAGACATCCCTGTATATGTGCTTTCTTGAGCAGGGGGACCTTGCGGGCGCTGCAGGATTTCAGTCCTTCACAGCGTAGTGTGTTACCAATTGTTTTCTTGGTGAATATGGTCCCAGCTGCCTTGAGATCATTGACAAGATCCTCCCGTGTAGTTCTGGGCTGATTCCTCACCGTTCTCATGATCATTGCAAATCCACGAGGTGAGATCTTGCATGGAGCCCCTGGCCGAGGGAGATTGACAGTTATTTTGTGTTTCTTCCATTTGCGAATAATCGCACCAACTGTTGTCACCTTCTCACCAAGCTGCTTGGCGATGGTCTTGTAGCCCATTCCAGCCTTGTGTAGGTCTACAATCTTGTCCCTGACATCCTTGGAGAGCTCTTTGGTCTTGGCCATGGTGGAGAGTTTGGAATCTGATTGATTGATTGCTTCTGTGGACAGGTGTCTTTTATACAGGTAACAAGCTGAGATTAGGAGCACTTAAGAGTGTGCTCCTAATCTCAGCTCGTTACCTGTATAAAAGACACCTGGGAGCCAGAAATCTTTCTGATTGAGAGGGGGTCAAATACTTATTTCCCTAATTAAAATGCAAATCAATTTATAACATTTTTGACATGCGTTTTCCTGGATTTCTTTGTTGTTATTCTGTCTCTCACTGTTCAAATAAACCTACCATTACAATTATAGACTGATCATTTCTTTGTCAATGAGCAAACGTACAAAATCAGCAGGGGATCAAATGCTTTTTTCCCTCACTGTATATGTGTGCGTGCATGCACATATGCTTGAGCATTGGTGTGTCATTGCGTATTTGTACATGTGCCTCTGTCCTCCTATTCATGCCAATGATTTCCTCGTCTTTGAAATGGAGAGATGTTGGATAAAGAGGATGTGAGTCATGGCCATTTACAGTAAATAGAAGAGGGGGTCATGGCCATTTACAGTAAATAGAAGAGGGAGTCATGTGCAGATAGAGCTTTTGAATAAAGCACTTATCAGAGTCCAAAACGTGTTCTAGAATATGTTGGCTTTCATACTTTTCTATTTCTCAGAGCAGCTCAAGCAATTTCTCCAACTGTCACCACAATCAAATGAATAGGAGCGGAGTACGCTGAGCTGCGTTGGTTGGGAAGTTTGGGGAGGTGCGAGGTCGGCCTGTGCGTCCCCCGCGGACGGTAGTCACACAATGGGCCGCCGGACGGCTCTGCGGCTGTGGACTCTGAATTAGCCTTAAAGCTGCAATATGTAACTTTTGGGGCGACCTGACCAAATTCACATAGAAAGGTGTGTTATAGATCTGTCATTCTCATTGAAAGCAAGTCTAAGAAGCGGTAGATCTGTTCTATGTGCTCTAAATTCTACTCTTCCCTTTCTTAACTTTCGTTTTTGTGTCTTTTACTTTCGGTTTTGTACACCAGCTTCAAACAGCTGAAAATATAATATTTTTGGTTATGGAAAATATATTTCACAGCAGTTTAGATGATACAATGATTCTCTACACAATACTTGCTTGTTTTGTCACATAAACTGAAATTACGCTAATTTTAGCAACCAGGAAATGGCGGAGCAATTTCTGCATTGTGCATCTTTAAGTACAGCTCAATTCAACCTCCCGTCACTTCCCTGATCCCCTCTCACCCCTCTGACTCACCTTTCCTGGGGGGCCACTGTCCCCCTGCTCCCCCTTCAACCCTGCAGACCCCATTGGTCCAGCGATACCCTGTTATAAAGATCAAACACAGCACTCTGAAAATCATTATCAAAGACAAATCCACACTGAACCTGATGCCATCCTAACACATACTAGAAACACAGTAGGATGTAGAGAGTCAGATACCATAAACAGTACACACCTGTTTCCCTGGCAACCCCGGTGTTCCCTCTTTTCCAGGTATCCCGTCTCTTCCTGGGACCCCTGGCTTGCCCCCCTCCCCCTGTGGAGAGACACACTGAATGTCACCAAAAGAACTGATGTGTGTGTGAATGGCTTGCTGTGTGTTAACCATGGCGATGATGGAGGTGTGTGTGTTGGCTCTGCAGTACAGTATGTGAAATGTGAGCCCCACATAGCTGCTGTACTCACTGTCTGCCCTGGTAGACCTGGAGGCCCTGATGGACCCTGGGAAGAGAGGGTATCATTACAATACATTCAACAATATTAAACACACATTATTGTGTCAATGGCTTTTTTAATTACAGTAAGCCTAAAGGTAAAGGTGTGAGCATACGAGGAATCCCCAGTCCAATGGGAATGTAATACAACACCAGTTCAGCCAGTACAACTATACAGTATGAGAGTTGGTTTATAGATGACTGATGTTATGCCCTACCACAGCTCCAGGAGGCCCTGCAGGTCCAGTCACTCCCATGCTGCCTTGGGGACCAGGAAGTCCCTGTGGAACAGGAGGGTCAATTCAAATAGATTATTATGAAGCTCTGTGACTTTCACTGTGAATAGTGGGTGAGTAGTTCTAAAAACACTGAGGCAATAAACATCAAATAGGAATATACAGTAGTAACATAAAACACATAAGGCCAGTTTCCCAGACACAGATTAAGCCTAGTCCTGGACTAAAAAGCTCTCTCAATGGAGAATCTCACTTTTTAGACCTGGACTAGGCTAAATCTCTATTTGGGAAACTAGCCCATAATGTACAACACAAAATTGATCATATAAAGTTCTCACCTGAACGCCAACCCCAGGCACTCCTTGATTACCCTGTCAGAGATCAAAACACATTCTCAGAACAACAAAGACAACACTTAAATTGATTATTCCAGTGCTGTAATACTAAGCTACTGTAGACAAAAAAATATAAACACTACTCAATGCATCAGCAATATCCCCACAGAGCTGGAACTAAGAATTAATGATACTATAGGTCTATGACGGAATAAGTTCTCACCTTTACCCCTGATGGACCTGGAGGTCCATTGGTACCGATCGGACCCTACAATTACAAAGAGATAGCATCAGAATAAGTACAGCGCTGTGTGTGTGTGTGTGTGTGTGTGTGCGCGCGTGCGTCGGATATTAGAGTATCATACTTACAGTTGGCCCTCTAATTCCAGGTTCTCCAGGGTTTCCCTGCAAACAAGAGATAAGAGCATGCTGGATTCACATGCCAAAGAAATAGCACACACACACAGAACACATGCATGATACGACACACAAACACACAGCAAATTCTCCAGTGTTAAATCAACACTGAGTGTTACATTTAACACTGGTCCAGTGTCTATACGGGTCCACACTTTTCAGTGTTAAATTAACACACTGCTTAGTGTAAAGCCTTATTTTCATGTTTCCCAGAGTGCCTTGCCTTTCTGGTGAATTGTAGAGTTACCACCCATAACTGCATTTGTTAGTGACAGAGACATGGTTGTTGCAGTCTTATTTTCTGTCCTGTTGCCTTCACCAAGTGAGATCCTAAGCGAATATGTCATCATTAAAATTACTCAACACAATACAAGTGTTTAATAAGGCCTTATTTTGAGGGCTTTGTTTTCCCTAATATAGTGGCCTGAAACCCATGGTTTTCAGGCCTGCAAATCACATTATGCTGGCTTGCGAAGTGTAATTCCTATTGGAATACAGCCAGAGCGGGGATATCCAACATTTGGAATTTTTATTCACCCCTAACCTGCATTCAGAATGACTGCCTGTTGGGAACTCTAAAATATTAGACTACCTAAACCATCTAAACTGGAACAACCATTTCAGTAACGGTTGCAATAAGTCCAAGTAACAGATTGGATTACTTGATATATTTTTTTATATTTCAGTAGCATAAGATTAATTAATCGATGCAAAAACATAGATATTGAAACAAACAATTCTAAAATCAACCTGCAATAGAGCATGCTGGGAAATATGATAATGACGGGCGTGGTTTTGTTTTAACACTGGTTATTAACACCAACACTGGGGTTATTTTACACCAATGAGTGTTAATTTAACACTTGAATCAACACTAGAAATGTTACACTGAAAACCAACACTAGGTAACACTGGCCAATTTGCTGTGCATACACACAGCATATTGTACATACTTACGTACATGTAGGCTATGTACAGAGATAAAGACACATACAGTACACACAAACATGTACATACATGTACATACAGTACAAAGAGTTCACACACAAACAAATACACAACTGCATACACACACAACTGCAAACACACACAATACACAAAGACACACACAGTATACAATGTGCAAACAGCGCTTTGGGAGGGCTGAGAAGCAGACAACAGAGCAGGTGTTAAATAAAGGTGAAATAAAAAATAAATAAATAAAAACATGCACAGAAAGCTAGCACACAACGCACAGAAAGCTAGCACACAACGCACAGAGAGCTATGACACAATGCAAAATGCATCTGTTACAATTCTGACGGGGCATTAAATCCATCTCAGTTTTCACAACCCTATTGTGTCCAACTGATCTTGGTTAGTGTATGTGGCATATATGTACAAACGTGTAGTGTTTAATACATAAAACATTCCAGCCATCTGGATATAACACTGGTACTCTGGGAACAGGTGGTCCAGATTAATATTTCATGAGTTTCCTATCAAGGCCGAACTCTAGTCTCAGACCCCTGGGAGATGGGTCCTAATACAAATGAAAGAAAATTAAGGTGGAGACATGAATGCAGAGGATGGCGCGGTGGAGGACTGTGTGACAATGTGTGCATGTTGATGCTGATGACACTAGTAACTGGTAACTGGTACCGTCACAGCATCCTTGGGTCGTGCTTGTACCCCTCCTCCTGAAACATTCACAAGCATGCCAGCCATCAGCACAGAAAACCTACCGGTCTGCCCAGCACTCCAGGGAACCCAGGCAGGCCCTAGAGTCAGAGAGGGAGGAGAGGAAGAAGAGAAAGAGTAGGATAGTAGGACACAAGGGTAATTGGAAGTGTTGAAAAGAGAAGGAGGGACAGAAAGGGTATAAAATAGATGAAAAGGTGACAGATTGAAGGGTGGAGGTAAGAAGAAAGAGGGAGGTGTTGTTAGAAGCAGAGCTGCTAAAGGTTACTGTCTAAAGGTTCAATGTAGTCTCAGCCCAACGGAAGCAGATACAGTAGCTTCATCAGCTCCATCGGCGGCCTAGCACTCGCAGCCAATCCACAGGCTTTCCTACGCAGGGCCAGCCCAAAAGGAGGCTGCATGGCTGGGTTACTGTTACTCACTGAGCGGCCTTGAGGACCAGCTGGCCCTTGTGGACCCTGCTTCGAAACATTGTGGGATGAAACAAGAAGCTTGAGTTATCTTATCACCTCATCTCTCCCCCTCCACATCTCTTTCTCCTTCTATCCATCTATATCCTCCTCATGTTATGACTACTAGGGCCCTGAGTTCTTCCAGCCCAGGAGAAATTCTGGGCCCTAGTTAGTCATGGCTGATTACACAACATCAACATCAATGTTTCAGTTTCTCACCTGTACTGTACTGTATGGTTGGACATGTCATGATCACTGTAACTCGAACACAACATTATCTGCTTAACTATACTGTAGTGCAGCCAATCTATTGAAGAACTGAAAACTGTGTAACTCCAGTTTGTCCTGTGATGTCTGGGATCTGTCAGATGAGTGTACAGTATAAACCTGCATAATGCATCAATTAAGTCATATCTAAAAGGTATCATATATCAACAAAGAAGCACCATAATTGTATGGTTATTGATATAAATCAAAATATTAATAAAAGCCTGATAATCAATTCAGAAAAAGTTGGCCTAAGTAGGCTAGCTACAGTAACCTTATTATACGATTAAAATATTATCATCATTTTACTCTTCCCTTCAAAGTTGTGCCATGGTATAACCCCACCCCTCCTCCTCTCACCGGCTTCCCATCCTGTCCCGGTTTGCCAGGTTCTCCTGTTGTCCCCTGAAATGATTAAAACACAACCTGGTTACTACTAGCTACCACTACAACACTGTCTTTACAACCTCTTCAGCACCATAATCATACAATGATGAGGGTAATACAACCTGGTATCAGGTAGTGCCAACAGTTAACCCATATGGTTAGAGCCAGTCACATCTCATCTCACAGCGTAGTACAGAGGTGTCAAAATCCTTTTCCCCAAGGGGTACACATTGAATCAGATGGCGGGCCACAAATGGCCCCCGGACTGCATGTTTGACAACCCAGCTGTAGATGAGATGAGGGATAGCTCCCTCTTGTAAAGCACACAGTCACCTGAAAACCATTGCGCCCCTGTTCTCCAGATGGACCCCGATCACCTTTATCTCCAAGGGGCCCTGCAATACCCTGTAACACACACACAGCTGGTTAAACACAGGGCCACACATCAGGCTGCCTGATGAAGTACTGTAATATTTTGAGTGAGGTGTTCTGACCCTGTCGCCTTTGGATCCCTGTGGTCCTGAGGCGCCAGGCTCTCCCTTTGGTCCTGCGACCCCAGGGAACCCCCTTGCTCCGGGGAGTCCAGCTTCACCCGCTTCTGCAGCAGCACCCTTAAACACACACACACACACACACACACACACACGCACACACCCCACTAAACACACTGCACACAATAACCTCTACATACACTATGATATGTTTACTGTAATGATGACTTATTAGAAAAGTAGTAGTCTGTACAGGTCAGGGACATACCTTTGGTCCAGGAGGGCCCACTGATCCAGCTAGCCCGTTTTTCCCCTGGAGATGAGAACAGTCATGCTCTGGTCAACATCCATACAATATATACAGTACATGAAATTATGATTATTGTGGTGATGAATATACTCACAGCCTCTCCTTTGTCACCCTTCTCTCCTCTCTCCCCCTGAAAGTCAAAGTGGTATCACATGACACATCTCTAATCCACATGATCTTCCTCTTCTTTCTTTTTTTATTTGCTCCATTCATATTCCTCCTCTCCTCTCCTTAAACCCCTCCTTCCTCCTCCTCACCTTATCTCCAGGACGTCCAGCCTCTCCCAGTTCTCCGGCTCTCCCTGGTCCTCCAGGTATTCCAGGTTTTCCTGGCTCTCCAGCCTGTCCCGGGGGTCCCACTGGGCCCTTCTCTCCAATGGCCCTCCCTATGGGTCCTGTGGCCCCTAAAGGCCCCCGTTCCCCCTGCTCTCCCTTCACACCCCTCTCCCCAGACAGCCCGCGGGTACCCTGACATGGAAATGAGCAAAGACATTAATTACACATACTGTCCTAGAAATTACAATTGTATTCAAAATCCATGCAGTCATACAGAGAATCACTTTATGAGTGAGCAGAGAGTTATGCATTACATCATGGGTCAAATAAACACACTAATACCATGTTTTAGTTCACTGTACTACTCCATTTGCGTGGGGGTCTTGATATAATTTCTTTGCTCCCCACACTGCTCCCAAATCGGGGACAGCTCACTCACGTCTATCCCTGCTGGTCCTCTCTGTCCGGCCTCTCCCTTGTCTCCTTTCTGGCCCTTCTCAGCCTTCTCCACCACAGGCGTGACATCCTTCCTCTCCACAACCACCTTCAGGTCCCGCACCTACAGACAGGACAGTACAGAAAGGTCCGCAATGCTTCTACATCTGCATTGCTTGCTGTTTGGGGTTTTAGGCTGGGTTTCTGTATAGCACTTTGTGACATCTGCTGATGTAAAAAGGGCTTTATAAATACATTTGATTGATTGAAGGTCGTATTCATCAGGCACCAAACGAAAGGAAGCGAACTGAAACAGGGGGGGGCCTACTTGAACTTGTCCAATGACAACAGCTTCTTGTCGTTTCCAGTTGAAATAAATGTTTCAACGCTTTGCTACGGTGTGTCCTAATGAATAGGACCCAGGCTTGGTCAAGTGGAAGGAGACTCATATACAGCACAGCTATGACTTAATGTCGCATCACATCATTGCAGACATTTAGTATCCACTTACCTCAATGCCAAGGTTAGAGAGGGCCTTCTGCACATCCTGACGGGGGAGAGGCACAAACAGTGTCAAGGAGGAGTGAATACAGTACATGGTCATGCCTTTATCAGTCCCTTGCTGGGGTTATTCTCCTTTCTTGATTCCTTATTTTCTTACCACTGCTGTTCCAGGCCTGCCCGGTTGCCCGTCCTCTCCTGGGTCACCCTGTCAATAACATCTCACATCAGTAATACTAAAGATGCACTAACACATACACCCATACACATACTCAGGAAACAGCATGTGTACACGTTCATATGCAAGACACACACACTTACCCTTTCACCTTTACTGCCCACTGCTCCTTTCTCCCCCTGAAATACAAGAGTGAATGGGTCAGAGATCAAACTAAAGGACAGATGGATGGACAGAGCTGGAGCAGACTGACTGACCTCAGAAATAAATAATAGTAAATGATCTCTATGACAATGACTTACTCTAGTTCCTACGGTCCCTGGGATTCCAGGCACACCCTGAGAGACACAGAGAGATGGGCATCAGAAACAGAGTGCATTAGAAACGTACTGAAGACAAGTGCACAGTACTGCTACATCAGGCTATGCTATACTGCACGGCTCATATCCAACATAGTAACTTACTGGGGTTCCTGGAGGCCCCTGAGGGCCAGGGATAGACAGTGTTGGAGCTCCCTTCACATAGACCACCTGAGAGAGAGAAGAGAGGGGAGAGAGAGTTAACTGTATAATCAGAGCACAATAGACAAGTGACACACACACACACACACATTCTAGGAAGCAGAACCATATGGCTGTTCTGTACCTGTCCTGGAGGTCCGATGGTGCCAGGGACCCCTTGGGGCCCAGATAGACCATTTGGCCCCGCAGGCCCAGCAAGGCCCCGGTCCCCCTTCAGCCCGTCACGGCCCTGGAACGCGCGCACACACACAAACATGACAATTTCAGACCAGCACGGACACTCTATTCCATTCCTAAGGGGTCTGGCCTGAACTAGAAAGGAGGCAGATGTCCTAGATAATTTATATGAATTTGGACATGAAACCACAGCCTTGACATTCTGCGCCCCTGCGGATCGCCTCTCAGAAGTGGCTGGCCCATAAAGGCACAGCTTGATCATTACCCACCGTTGCATTTATACAGCTGCTGCTTAGAGCGCTATTGATTCCACCGTGAAGGCAGGGTGTGATGAAAATATCAATATCACAGGAGACTACGCTTAATAAACACACACTAGGAGGGGAATTGATGGCGAGAAAGAAATGGAACAGGGATAATGAGAGATGCTAAGGAGCCGAGGAGAACAGGATCGATGAAGACTGAGGGAAAGACGGAGAGGAAGAGAGCGACAGCAGGGGAGGAAAGAAAGGACATTGTACAGACATAGAAAGAACGAGGGTGGAGAGATAAAGATACAGGGTAACAAGTTACTAACGTCTCTTCCAGAAGCCCCAGCCTCTCCTTTGTCACCCTGTGAGGTAGAAGGATTACTGTTATACTATTCCAGGTTCCAAGTTATGTGAATTTAAATAGTCCTGAGTGCAGTGACCAACACTGACCTTTCTGCCATCTTCCCCTGGTACGCCATCCTCACCCTGCGAAAAACAACAACACAATAAAAAATGTACCATACTAACAACATTGAAATGTGCATTTATCAAAGCTCAGTGTGCCGTTGTATCAAGCAGAGCCTCTCAGTCAGATAGATAATGTTTTGCAGAGGCTTTGGTTGATCATCCCATTACCTCCTCACCTAACATTACAACAGACAGGCTTCCCCTTAAATGGCTCCCTAACCCTACATAATGCATTACTTTTGACCAGAGCCCCATGGGGTGTGGTCAAAAATAGTGCACTATATAGAGAATAGGGTGCCATTTGGAATGAAACCACAGCCAGCACAGCCACTCAGGTGGAATAAAAGCCTCAGAGTCACATCTGATCAGTACACTTTAACCTGAGGATGTGACAAACATGTTTAAATGGTAATTACACAGAGACAGACAGAGACACATAGGACTAACTGGTGACGATAAAGCTCTTAATGAATAGCACTGAATCGCATCCCATTCAAAATGTTTTCATTCAGTTTGTTATTAATCAGAGATATGATTGTGTGCAATGTGTGTGTAGTGTGGTAATGCCCTGCAGGATGCTATGTTAGAGGTCTGACTGATCCCTCACCATTTTCCCAGCAGCCCCTGGTTTTCCATCTTCTCCTGCTTTGCCCTGAAACACAACAATTAGGGTGATGAGACAGCAATGAGACATGTGCTTTGGGAAGTGGAGCTTTGTGTGTGTGTGTGGGTGCGTTGTGCATGCATGTGTTTTTGTTTGTGTGGTTGAGAGTGTTGACAAACTCACAGGTGTGCCTGGATTTCCTGCTGGCCCAATAGGGCCTGGGAGGCCCTGTACACCTCTTAGACCTGGCAGCCCCTGGTGAGACAGACAGACAGACAGAGTGGCAGTGTGAGGGCTGAAACCACACAGCACCACAGTGCCCTCTAGTGTTCAAAAACAGTAAGTGCACAGAGATAGAGCATCCTCCACCACATTTGTACTGAACAAAAATATAAACGCAACATGCAACAATTTCAAAGCTTTTACTGAGTTACAGTTCATATAAGGAAATAAGTCAATTAAAATAAATTCATTAGGCCCTAATCTATGGATTTAACACGACTGGGAACACAGATATGCATTTACTGGTCACAGATACCTTTCAAAAAAAGGTAGGGGCGTGGATCAGAAAACCAGTCAGTATCTGGTGTGAACACCATTTGCCTCATGCAGCGCGACACATCTCCTTCGCATAGAGTTGATCAGGCTGTTGATTGTGGCCTGTGGAATGTTGTCCCACTCCTCTTCAATGGCTGTGCGAAGTTGCTGGTTATTGGCGGGAACTGGAACATGCTGTCGTACAAGTCGATCCAGAGCATCCCAAACATGCTCAATGGGTGACATGTCTGGTGAGTATGCAGGCCATGGAAGAACTGGGCTATTTTCAACTTCCTGGAATTGTGTACAGAGCCTTGCGACATGGGAGCGTGCATTATCATGCTGAAACATGAGGTGATGGCGGTGGATGAATGGCACGACAATGGGCCTCAGGATCTCGTCACGGTGCATTCAAATTGCCATCGATAAAATGCAATTGTGTTCGTTGTCTGTAGCTTATGCCTGCCCATACCATAACCCCACCACCACGGGGCACTCTGTTCACAACGGCAAACCGCTCGCCCACACGTCTGCCATCTGCTCGGTACAGTTGAAAGCGGGATTCATCCATGAAGGGCACACTCCTCCAGGGTGCCAGTGGCCATCGAAGGTGAGCATTTGCCCACTGAAGTCAGATACAATGCCAAACTGCAGTCAGGTCAAGACTCCGGTGAAGACGACGAGCACGCAGATGAGTTTCCCTGAAACAGTTTCTGACAGTTTGTGCAGAAATTCTTTGTTTGTGCAAATCCACAGTTTCATCAGCTGTCCGGGTGGCTGGTCTCAGACGATCCCACAGATGAAGATGCCGGATGTGGAGGTCCTGGGCTGGCGTGGTTACACGTAGTCTGCGGTTGTGAGGCCGGTTGGATGTACTGCCAGAAATTAACATTAACTTCTCTCGCAACAGCTCTGGTGGACATTCCAGCAGTCAGCATGCCAATTGCACGCTTCTTCAAAACATGAATCTGTGGCATTGTGTTATGTGACAAAACTGCACATTTTAGGGTGGCCTTTTATTGTCCCCAGCACAAGGTGCACCTGTGTAATGATCATGCTGTTTAATCAGCTTCTTGATATGCCACACCTGTCAGGTGGATGGATTATCTTGGCAAAAAAGAAATGCTCACCAACAGGGATGTAAACAAATATGTGCACAAAAATGAAGAGAAATACGCTTTTTTTGCGTATGGAACATTTCTGGTATCTTTTATTTCAGCTCATGAAACATGGGACCAATGCTTTACATGTTGCGTTTATATTTTTGTTCCATGTACATTGACATTTTTGTCATTTAGCAGACGCACACTAGCCTGAAGCAGAGAGCAAGACGAAAAGTGAGAGTGTCGACTCAGCCCAAAATCTGTCCGCGCAGATTAAGCAGATTTGGTCTGCTTAACGCTATAAGCAAGTGAGGTGTTTTTGTCTGGGGCGCAATGTGAAAGTGTTTAATTTATTTAAGATGAAAGCAAATTGCTATTTTGATAGGTGAGGCTTATTTGATCTAAATGAAGTTGCATAATGCTTAGGTTGTTACGAGTGTATTGATATGTTTTCTACAAAAGATCACTGGCTAGAATGTTCCCACCTGATCTCGCCTCCTCCCGCCTGCCTTTCGCCTTTGCAGACATGTATTTCCATAGTTAAAGCGCCCAGTGGACCATCAATATAATAGATCATCTTTGCCTGAAGTCCTTTCTCACTTCTTAATGGGACCTCTCAAAGGTTCAGATAAAACAAATGGTTACAGCTTCACCTTGCTCCACTCACTGACTTGTACCAGAGAGCCACACAAGCCAGCAGAAGTGCAGCCCTCTGGGACTGGGGTTGTGCACCCCGAGTCTAGGGTTGATTTTGGCCTGGGGAACAGTGGTACTCACATCTCTTCCTGGATCCCCTAGTTTCCCTGGGTCTCCCTGTAACACCAAGGGAAAATGATTGAGAGATAACTAAAGACAGTAATGTTTATGTCATGTTCACCGTACCCTGAGAAGCTACAGCTGCTGTAATGTCTGTATGACAGAGACAGAGGTACTGACCCTCAGGCCGGCTGCTCCTGGTGCCCCTGGTTTGCCGTCCAGACCGTTGCGTCCATCCAGTCCAGACGCACCTCTCTCTCCCTACAGAGAGGAACACACATGATGCATACAGTTTGATCAGAATAAGGGCTGCACAGGGTTGTATTGGACCTGGATACATTTAGCACAAGAGGATAAAACTCTACTACTACTGTTTCAAATAAAGCAAGTGGAAAGGCAATTCAATGCTCCAGCGTTGTTACTCAGAGTTAGTTCAATGTTTGGAAATGACTATGGTGAGGTATTTTTTAGGATGCAGAGCATGTGTGTATACAGCATTAAGTTGCATGTCTCAGGCTGTGGTGATGTTGTGAGCAGGCCCCACTGATCTTCATCCCACTGGGAATCTGCAGACTGGGAAACAGGATCCGGTGGAATGAAGGACAGCGCAACCTGCCAATCACCAGCCAGTTTGGAGAACCATATCCTATCAGGATTTGTCAATTAGAAAATCAGCCTGTGTGAGAATGTGAGAAGTCACTGTAGTATGTGTTATTCAGACCTTCTCTCCTGGGCCTCCTCTCTCTCCTGTGTCACCCTGGAGAAATAGAAAGAAAGAGTAATGAGTGAGATAGAGAGAGGGATAGAGTGGTTAGACAGACAGACAGACAGACAGACAGACACACTTGACAGAAAGACAGACAGACAGACAGACACACATGACAGACAGAAAGTGGCTTACTCTCGCCCCTGGAGGTCCACGCTGTCCCTCGAGACCCTACACAGACAAACAACAGAGCAGGTGAGACAGAGAGAAGACACAGGGTAAGAATTGCACACACAACAGCACATAGACAGACAGACATTACGGGTCAGTATATTTCAGTAACCTTCGAAGCTTAGGCTTCTCAAGACACTAGATTTTGAAGGATAGCCCCGTAAGACTCTGCTTAAAGTTTAGAGGCAGTGACCCATCAGGGGGCCAGAGAGGCAGAGACAGCAGTCTTACTCACCCGGAGCCCCGCGGCCCCTGAGGACCCTGCCTCGCCCTTCTGACCTTTGCCCCCATGCTCTCCCGGGTCACCAGCATCTCCCTAGACACAGGAAGTGACGTCAGACACTGGGAGGTTAGGTGTACCGAGAGAGAGAGCTGTGCTGTATACATTCAAAGGTGTGTTCGTACAATGTTAGAAGAAAGTAAGGGACATCTACATACCTTTTCTCCTCTTTCTCCTTTAAGCTTTTGCTCTGTATCACCCTGTAGAAGTTAGAGAGAGATTGAGAGAGATGTGGGTAGCTATGTGGTTCTGATGGCTCGTTCAGTTAGTATGGTCCTTGTAATACCATTTGTTTGGTATGATTCTCACAGGGGCCATATATGTTGACTGAAAGTCACATTTAGCCTCTGTTAAATGAACATATTGTTATTTTAAAAAGAGATCTTATCAGGACTCACCACGTTCCCTGGAGGTCCTGGGGGGCCTTGAGCTCCCTATTGTGTCATAAACAACATACCGTTTTGTTAATTTGAGCAGATTGGAACTATTATATCAGATTAGATAACAAACAGATTAACCTCTGACCTCAACTCCTTTCTCTCCTCTTGGTCCGATAGGTCCTGGGCTGCCCTGTGGATGATACACCACACACACACACACACACACACACACACACACACACACACACCAACTGTCACTACAGACAGACACCAACTGCTACTGTATTACTCACAGTAACCAACACAAATACTGACACATATAGAGTATCAGATCAATCTGGCAAAAGAGTGTCAGATGTGTGTCACATAAATTATTGACTGATTCATGGGTGTACAGAAATGTCACGTCACAAACATGCGTCTCACATGTCTTCCATGCTCTCAATAACTATTACACAGAAGACACAGACAGTATTTCAGAACAATCTGTCAGAGGAGTGTCACAATGTCACATAAACATGTGTCTCACGTTACGTCCGTGCTCTCCAGGGTCTCCCAGGTCTCCCTTCTCCCCTGCTCGTCCAGGCTGACCCGCAAGGCCCTGAGGACGGGGCATAAAACCACACAGATTATGTGCTTAGTTACCATGGCAGTCCTAAAAACATCTTAGAAAAGGAAAAGCTGCACACTGATGGCTCCGATGCAAAATTGCATTTAATCAAAGTTTCGACAGCTAAGCAGTCTTCATCAGGGTTTCATCTGTTCTCAAAACATTCACTTCATATCATGTAGGTCATGGTTAATCATGACCTACATTAGTGACCAATCACCATAAACAGTACAGCAAGACCATTCTGAAAAGAGGGCATAAAAGGGAGTTGATGTTTTATAGTGCCGCCTCTCATTGAAGGCACAGAAGTTCAAGGCCGACCGCAGTACTGCAGGCATTGTTAGCAGAAAACAGGATTCCCCATAATAGTGAATGAAAAAATGGCAATCTTCGTGTAAATATACACTGGACAAAAATATAAACGCAACATGTAAAGTGTTGGTCCCATGTTTCATGAGCTGAAATAAAAGAACCCAGAAATTTTCCATAAGCACAAAAATAATATTTCTCTCTAATTTTGTGCACAAATTTGTTTACATCCCTGTTAGTGAGCGTTTATTCTTTGCCAAGATAATCCATCCACCTGACAGGTGTGGCACAAGCTGATTAAACAGCATGATCATTACACAGGTGCACCTTGTGCTGGGGACAATAAAAGGCCACTCTAAAATGTGCAGTTTAGTCACACAACACAATGCCACAGATGTCTCAAGTTTTGAGGGAGCGTCCACCAGAGCTGTTGCCAGAGAATTTAATGTTAATGTCTCTACCATAAGTCACATCCAACAACGTTTTAGAGAATTTAGCAGTATGTCCAAATTGAATCACAACCGCAGACCACTTGTTTGGCGTCGTGTGGGTGAGCAGTTTGCTAATGTCAACGTTGTGAACAGAGTGCCCCATGGTGGTGGTGGGGCTATGGTATGGGCAAGCATAACCTACGGACAATTAACACAATTGCATTTTATCGATTTGCAATTTGAATGCATAGAGATACCGTGACGAGATCCTGAGGCCCATTGTGAGGCCGATTTTATTTTTAAAGATATCTGTGACCAACAGATGAATATCTGCATTCCCAGTCATGTAAAATCCATAGATTAGGGCCTAATGAATTTATTTCAATTGACTGATTTCCTTATCTGAACTGTAACTCAGTAAAATCTTTGAAATTGTTGCATTTATATTTTTGTTCAATATATATATATTTTTTGGGGGAATCATCATTTTTTGGGGAATCATGCATGGTACCAAAAATGGTATGTCCTTTGAACCAAATATTTTGAAATCACACACAGAAGAAGTTATAAGGATAATTGAGTTGCTAATGGAAGCCTGCAGTACCCTGGTCGACCTTCAACTTCAGTTACTCAATGAGAGGGGGCAGCACTGAGCTAACCTGCAACGTCCATTCCTGGAGTAGTTCAAACTGTGCATATTATGTCTCCATGAGACGCCATCTTAACCGACTTCATTTGGCTTCAATGTGCTATTGAGTCTTAACATAGGAATGAATGGTGTCATGTGATCAATGGCTTTGTCCATTCATATATACCATTCATTGGCTGTATGTGACACAGACATGTGACTACTCACCCTTAGTCCTCTCTCCCCTGCCTTCCCTGGGAGTCCAGACTCCCCCTGGTGGAGAGAGAGAACAGACAGAAAATTAGAGAGACTGGTAGAGGAGAGGAAGAGGGGGAAGGAGGAGGAGAAGAAGACATAGAAACAGATAAATGCTATGCTATTGTCTCTGCTATTGTCTCTAGTCTTCACCAATCCTGTCAGATGAGCAGAGGGTCTGAATCATGTGACAATAATACTCATCTCTCACTCACCAATACTATTAAAGAGAATGGGTGCCAGAGAGAGAGAAGTGGCATTCAAACATGAAAAACTTTGAATGGAACTGATAGAATCAGATAAGGTAGTGAGGGAGCGACAGAGAGAGACAGAGAGCGAGAGAGAGACAGAGAGAGAGACAGACAGAGAGACAGACAGAGAGAGAGAACGAGAGAGAGCGAGAGCGAGAGAGCGAGCGAGATCATGGTCTGTCACAGGACAAAATATATATAGAGAGATGGATGGAGAGAATTTCTTACGGGAGTGCCTTCGTCACCCTTGTCTCCTTTGGCTCCCTGTAAAACACAGTGATCCATAATTCAGTCCCATCACAGGGGGAGAACACCACACTGACCACAATGACACAGTCAAAACCCATCAAACTTTTAAACCAGAACCCCACAACATCACATAGGGAAATGATTGTGGTAGACATGAAATAAACTTAGTAGTAGTAGTAGTAGTAGTAGTATTGTTTGAGTATTAGTCCAAAAAGTAGTTGTAGTAATAGTCATTAGTGGTGATGTACCTCTAGTGGCATCAGGGTATGATGGGAGAGAGATAGAAAGAAAGCCTTATATGACTGGTTAGGTCATCATTATATCATATCAACACTTACACAACAAAGAGGTCAGAGTTACACACACTGTATTAGTACTGGAATGGCAGTATGACATTCATTCCCTTTGTGGTACAGTCTTGAATAACATACTGTAGGTCAGTGGTCACCAACCGGTCGATCGCGATGTTCAAGCCATTCCTAGTAAATCACCAAACATTTCTGTAAAAAACCCAACGATAAAGCCTTGCGTTCCTAATTTGTTTATTAGTTTCACACTGTTGACGGTGGATGCACTTGATTCAGTAGCCCTAGCGCCGGGAAGGCAAAGTGTTCCCATTTGAACAATTTCATGTGTCTGAAGGTAGAACTTCGCCTACCCGGCAGGCCCAGAGAGAAAATCAAGTGCACCTATAGGCCTACCGCTCTGCACAGTTTCCTCACACCATAGACTGTAAAAAGAAGCCCCGAACGAACAGAAAAGTTGATATCATATTTCTAAACTTTTAAAACCATGACTAGAGAGACTCAACGAATACAGCAAAGAGCTGCTGATTTTATGAGTAAGTTCATGTTTAACTTGTTATTCAGCACTGCCAACACTTTGTTCGATGCTGATTTGTTGTTGTTGTTGCCTGCGTTACAGTCGGCTATATCGGTCTGCTAATACAGGACTAGTAAAGGCCCAGTGCATGACATTTGTGAAAAAAATATTTTTCTAAAATATATACACTACCAGTCAAAGGTTTGGACACACCTACTCATTCAAGGGTTTTTCTTTATTTTTACAATTTCTTACATTGTAGAATAATAGTGAAGATATCAAAACTATGAAATAACACATATGGAATCATGTAGTAACCAAAAAAGTGTTAAACAAATCAAAATATATTTTATATTTGAAATTCTTCAAATAGCCACACTTTGCCTTGATGACAGTTTTGCACACTCAAGGGTGGCTATTTGAAGAATCTCAAATATAAAATATATTTTGATTTGTTTAACACTTTTTTGGTTACTACATGATTCCATATGTGTTCTTTCATAGTTTTGATGTCTTCACTATTATTCTACAATGTAAAAAATAGTAAAAATAAAGAAAAACCCTTGAATTTGTAGGTGTGTCCAAACTTTGGACTGGTACTGTATATATATATATATATATATATATAAATATATTTGTATGAATATATTTTAATTTTTTGGGATTTTTCAGGGGGTGCTGGAGCACCCTCAGCACCCCTACTTCCCGTGGCTATGCTTGCGTTGTTATTATTTGCGGCTTGTGTCTTTTTTCTCTGGTCATAGGAGTAATAACATGAATTGGTACAGAAATAATGCACTGCGACTTAAGTTTCGGCATCAGCTGAAAGACTTCCCTCCATTTTTTCATGGAGGGAGGGAGAGAGGATGGACGGTGAGTTGGTGAGAGGCAGCCTCATCGCTGCTCCCTCCCTCCCCTCAGACTGACCATCAGATGCAGGCCATCAGTCCAGTAACAAAACAAATTATTATGCTCACTCAGCTGTGCCTCACAAGTAATACAAGAAATGATCTATTACCAGTGTGATCATATACCTACAATATAGAAATATAATTTCTAAATGGTCTGAGTAGAACAACATTGGCAGGGCAATTCAAGCGTAGCCAATAAGGAGTGATAATGTATTGTGCCTGTAGCCTACTGCATAAACCTCATTGTTGCAGAACTGTTTTTCATTGGTTAATGCTGCATAAGCTTACATTTCTTAAGTCATATTTAAAAAAGAATCTGAGCGGTAGATCTCGGCTTGCATTTTGTCTCAGAAAGTGATCCTGACTCAGAAAAGGTTGGTGACCACTGCTGTAGGTTGATTGAACTGGAGAAATAAAAGTGTAGACGTAACAAGGTAATGGGCCCAGTAGTGAAGAAGCAGAGTTTGAGAAAATACAATAGCGATAACATAATAGTAGTATAGTTATTACAGAGTAGTAGTAATAGAGTGATAACACGTTGTTAGCACAGTAAGTGACTAGTATTGAAACAGGGGTTATTTGCATTGGGTGAGTGATAGTATAACATGCAGGAGTTTGGCAGAGGTGAAAAGCTCTAGGGTCGAATGGGTAGTGTCTCAGACCTCTTTTCCTGGGATGCCATTCTTTCCTGCGGGTCCGGCTCGTCCTGTCTCCCCTCTCTCTCCTGGTTCACCTGGGTCTCCCTACAACACCAATAGGAACACATTGAGATCAGCTGGACTCACGCGACACAGTAGTTCGACTATAATAAAAATTTGAATTACTTACAAGAAAGTACAAGTTACTTTATGAGAAAGCAACACTGATGCAACATAAATACTAAATAGAAGTTCAAATAAAAGGACAAAAGCCAGTCAAGGCATGTTTCTGACCTTGGTCCCCAGTCTTCCAGCTAAACCAGGGAGTCCCTAGAGGCGAAAGAACATGTTTATGTATTTATAGACTGTCAGTCTGAGTGTGTAGAACATGACCTACGTGCTGAGCATCTTTCAGCAGCTACACAGGGAAGCTCAATGAATGATACATATGATTTACAATATACCTCTGAGGCTTTCTGCACATATATCAAGGAGATTTGTAGCTTAGATAAAGACTGATAAATTATCACAGCTTCCTCTGAACTCACCCGATCCCCCTGCTCTCCTTTAGATCCAGCCTGGCCAGGAGAGCCAGCACCTGGGGAACCCTGGAAGAATGAAAGAGGAGAGAGAGAAATTAGAGTATGAGAGACAGTGAAGAGCAGAAAGAGAGATGAACAGCAAAAACATCTATACCCGCTAGCATAGAGAACATCATTAAATTACCTGTACACACACACACACACGCCGCGCACACACAGACCACCGAAGGGCATGCAGTGCCAGATTCATGCAGCGCACCATCATGTAACCTGTGGGTACCAACTCACTTTTTCACCTTTCTGGGCTGGATCTCCTTTCTGGCCCCTGGGCCCCTCTGGACCTGGCAGACCCGGTTCACCCTGGGAGAGGAGAGGAGAGGAGAGGAGAGGAGAGGAGAGGAGAGGAGAGGAGAGGAGAGGAGAGGAGAGGAGAGGAGAGGAGAGGAGAGGAGAGGAGAGGAGAGGAGAGGAGAGGAGAGGAGAGGAGAGGAGAGGAGAGGAGAGGAGAGGAGAGGAGAGGAGAGGAGAGGAGAGGAGAGGAGAGGAGAGGAGAGGAGAGGAGAGGGAATGAGTCTATGGAGAAAGTGTTGTAACTGTCTACAGTACATCAACATATCAACCATTAATATGGAGATGGCAGAATGAGGAAGTAAAAGTGGGAAACTTGCCTGTTCACCTTTCTTCCCACCTAAGCCTGGCCCCTGGATGTGTAGAATTATACAGAGGAGATATCATTACATTGACCAATACTGATCTCTGACTTTTCAATTACTGTAGTGAAGTACTTCCATAAAAATCCATAAAAATAATTAATATCAGTCCATCTAACGATGAGGCATCAAAATAAACCATGTACGAGGTGACTCACACTCCGGCCAGGTTCTCCCTTAGCGCCCTCGCTGCCCTGGAGACAGACAGGTTCGTAAAAAAAAAATCTGATGTTCATCTATGTTTAGTTGATGTCATTGTTCTGATTACATTACATAGTTCAGTCATGTTTATTTTTTGTCACTTTAAATGATCAGAGAATAAGTCAGACTGCATTAGCCTCACCTTCTCCCCTGGTAGTCCATTGGTGCCAGGCAAACCCTGTGAGCAAATCAACACACACACATGTCTCACACACTCACGCATCATAATAAAATATCACAAATCTCTAAAGCCGCAGCATGTATTATCAAATCCTATAACAGAACAACATCAATCAATAGTGGTGGGTCACGATGTGAAGACGAACCAAATCCTGTAGAGGTACAGTAAGACATGGTTACTCACCCTCAGGCCTAGAGCCCCTGTAGAGCCTGACTGTCCTGTCTCCCCCTGAAACACACAGCGCCACACTGTGGTCAGAACAACATGCTGCATGACACAGCCCTCAGCAGGCTTTTCTGATACCTGTGACCTTCATGCTTAAAAATGGATTTGGTTCAGTGTAGGAGTAGGAGAAGTGGGTGAGGATAAATACTAGTGAACACAATTGAAAACGGAAAACAAATGTCATATTCATACACTGTAGCTGTATAATATCTAGCTTCATGGTACTCACCTTCTCCCCTGCAAAGCCAGCAGGTCCTCTCTCCCCCTGGAAAGACAACACAGTCAGTTACAACCCACAGCAGACACACCAGTTTAACAGCAGCAGTCTAAGTGGGTTAGAGGGGCTGTATCCATACTCACCCTGTCACCTTGTGATCCAGGTTCACCTGGCTGGCCCCGGTCCCCCTGAGAAGACAGAGCAGAGTCATCCATCCATCCGTTCATCCATTCATCCATCCATCCATCCATCCACCCAAACCCACCCACCCATCTACCCACACAAATATACATTTTATCACTCATTATAGTCCCAAACATGGATATTTTATCTAATGTTTTGCATCGTCTTACCTTGACTCCAAGGCTTCCAGCAGGCCCACGGGGACCCTAAAACACACAAACATACAGGACTGTTGGAATATGTTGTACATGACTTGAGTATGTCCTTCATTTTACAGTAAACAGATATGTATGTATGTACTGTACAAAAGTATGTGGATACCCCTTCAAATGAGTGGATTCTGATATTTCAGTCACACCCGTTGCTGACAGGTGTATAAAATCGAGCACACAGCCATGCAATCTCCATAGACAGACATTCACAGTAGAATGGCCCGTACTGAAGAGCTCAGTGACTTTCAATGTGGCACTGTTATAGGATACCACCTTTCCAACAAGTCAGTTCATCAAATTTCTGCCCTGCTAAAGCTGCCCCGGTCAACTGTAAGTGCTGTTATTGTGAAGTGGAAACATCTAGAAGCAACAACGGCTCAGCCGCTAAGTGGTAGGCCACACAAGCTCAAAGAACGGGACCGCCGATTGCTGAAGCGCGTAGCAAGTAAAAATCGTCTGTCCTCGGTTGCAACACTCACTACCGAGTTCCAAACTGCCTCTGGAAGCAACGTCAGCACAAGAAATGTTTGGCGGGAGCTTCATGAAATGGGTTTCCATGGCCGAGCAGCTGCACACAAGCCTAAGATCACCATGCGCAATGCCAAGCGTCGGCTGGAGTGGTGTAAAGCTCGCCGCCATTGGACTCTGGAGCAGTGGAAACACGTTCTCTGGAGTGAGGAATCACACTTCACCATCTGGCAGTCCGACGAACGAATCTGGGTTTGGCGGATGCCAGGAGAACGCTACCTGCCCGAATACATAGTGCCAACTATAAAGTTTGGTGGAGGAGGAATAATGGTCTGGGGCTGTTTTTCATGGTTTGGGCAAGGTCCCTTAGCTCCAGTGAATTGAAATCTTAACGCTACAGCATACAATTACATTCTAGACGATTCTGTGCTTCCAACATTGTGGCAACAGTTCGGGAAAGTGCCCCTGTGCACAAAGCGAGGTCCATACAGAAATGGTTTGTCGAGATCGGTGTGGAAGAACTTCACTGGCCTGCACAGAGCCCTGACCTCAACCTCATTGAACACCTTTGGTATTAATTTGAACACCAACTGCGAGCCAGGCCTAATCGCCCAACATCAGTGCCCCACCTCACTAATGCTCTTGTGGCTGGATGGAAGCAAGTCCCTCCAGCAATGTTCCAACATCAAGCCTTTCCAGAAGAGTGGAGGCTGTTATAGCAGCAAAGGAGGGACCAACTCCATATTAATGCCCATGAATGAGATGTTTGATAAGCACGTGTCCACATACTTTTGGCCACATACTTAGTGTATGTATGTCAGTGGAGGCTGCTGAGGGGAGGACAGCTCATAATAATGGCTGGAATGGAGTCAATGGAATGGTATCAAACACATCAAACACGTGTGGTTGATACCATTACGTTGACTCCATTCCAGCCATTATTATGAGCCATCCTCCCCTCAGCAGCCTCCACTGATGTATGTGAATGTGTGTCCTACCCGATCACCAGGCTCTCCTGCCTTCCCAGCCAGTCCTGGCAACCCCTCTGCACTCTCCCCCTGAAACATAAAAAACACTCAGTACACACTCTCTCTCTAACACACATGCATATACTGTACACACACAGGCACACACACAGTACCAACCTTCTCTCCTTTGGTTCCTTGTTGTCCTGTAGGTCCTCTGGGACCCTGAGCTCCTGGGTTTCCATCAGAACCCTAAAAAACAACAAAATACAATAAGATATGGTAAATAATTCAGTTATGGTAGCACATCAAACCATAGACGTGTACAGTATAATTATCACCCCAGAGATCTGCAGGACACAAATGTAGTCACATATACACAAAGACACATTTCCTGTGATTGACAGAGTTTACCGGTGATCCCTTCTCCCCCTTCATAGCCAAGCCACTGCCCACTCCTGGAGGTCCCTGTCAGCAGGACAAACAGACACACAGACAGAGAGACAGACAGACAGAGAGAGAGAGATAACAGAGAGGTGATAATCATTATGCTCCATCATTCCTAAAGCGATATATGCAATTAATCTGCAAGAAAAGCTGGGGACAGCCCTGTATGACTCACCCTCTCTCCGGTGCTTCCCTTGTCTCCCTGAAAGGAGAGAGAGAGAGAGAGAGAGAGAGAGAGAGAGAGAGAGAGAGAGAGAGAGAGAGAGAGAGAGAGAGAGAGAGAGAGAGAGAGAGAGAGAGAGGATTAGTGATTGAGCTTTGTAGTTCCGCAGACACTACATCCCATAGGAATGCATAGAAATACATTTGACTCCTAGACATGCACATGCGCGCACACACACACCCACCCACACCCACACACACACACAATGCCCATTTACTTCACTATGACGAAACATCTAGGCCTCTCCAAGTCTGAAGATGCTGGTTGTCAAGGAAACTGATGGAAGGGCATGAAGGGTGGAAGATGAAAACATAAAGAGGACGATGACAGATATACTCAAAGGCAGAGAATGGAAATAACCTAGAAAACTAAAATGTAATCTTGTTTACGTTTCCCACATTATCATATCACAGCCAGACCGTTAGGGGGTTATTCTTAAGGTGAAGATATACTTTACATGAGGAAGTAAAATATAGTGTATTTTGTTACATTACAGCCTTATTGTAAAATGTATTTAATTGTTTTCTTTCCTCGTCAATCTACACACATGGCCAGAAACAAATAACTTTCTTCTGAAACTCGTCAGTCTATTCTTTTTCTGAGAAATGAAGGCGAGAAATTGCCAAGAAACCGAAGATCTCGTACAACGCTGTGTACTACTCCCTTCACAGAACAGCGCAAACTGGCTCTAACCAGAATAGAAAGAGGAGTGGGAGGCCCCGGTGCACAACTGAGCAAGAGGACAAATACATTAGAGTGTCTAGTTTGAGAAACAGACGCCTCACAGGTCCTCAACTGGCAGCTTAATTAAATAGTACCCGCAAAACACCAGTCTCAACGTCAACAGTGAAGAGGCGACTCCGGGATGCTGACCTTCTGGGCAGAGTTGCAAAGAAAAAGCCCTATCTCAGACTGGCCAATAAAAAGAAAAGATTAAGATGGGCAAAAGAACACAGACACTGGACAGAGGAAGATTGGAAAGAAGTGTTATGGACAGACGATTTGAAGTTTGAGGTGTTCGGATCACAAAGAAGAACATTTGTGAGACACAGACCAAATGAAAAGATGCTGGAGGAGTGCTTGATGCCATCTGTCAAGCATGGTGGAGGCAATGTGATGGTCTGGAGGTGCTTTGGTGGTGGTAAAGTGGGAGATTGGTACAGGGTAAAAGGGATCTTGAAGAAGGAAGGCTAACACTCCATTTTGCAACGCCATGCCATACCCTGTGGACGGCGCTTGATTGGAGCCAATTTCCTCCTACAACAGGACAATGACCCAAAGCACAGCTCCAAACTATGCAATAACTATTATGGGAAGAAACAGTCAGCTGGTATTCTGTCTATAATGGGGTGGCCAGCACAGTCACCGGATCTCAACCCTATTGAGCTGTTGTGGGAGCAGCTTGACCGTATGGTACGTAAGAAGTGCCCATCAAGCCAATCCAACTTGTGGGAAGTGCTTCAGGAAGCATGGGGTGAAATCTCTTCAGATTACTTCAACAAATTGACAACTAGAATGCCAAAGGTCTGTAAGGCTGTAATTGCTGAAAATTGAGGATTCTTTGACGAAAGCTAAGTTTGAAGGACACAATAATTATTTATATAAAAAATCATTATTTCTAACCTTGTCAATGACTACATTTCCAATGCATTTTGCTATATTTCCTATTCAAACTCATTTCATGTATATTTTCATGGAAAACAAGGACATGTCTAAGTGACCCCAAACTTTTGAACGGTAGTGTATAAAAAACTGAAATATCACATTTACATAAGTATTCATACCCTTTACTCAACACTTTGTTGAAGCACCTTTGGCAGCGATTACAACCTCAAGTCTTCTTGGGTATGTCGCTACAAGCTTGGCACACCTGTATTTGGGGAGTTTCTCCCATTCTTCTCTGCAGATCCTCTCAAGCTCTGTCAGGTTGGATGGGGAGCGTTGCTGCACAGCTATTTTCAGGTCTCTCCAGAGATGTTCAATCAGTTTCAAGTCCAGGCTCTGGCTGGGCCACCCAAGGACATTCAGAGACTTGTCCAGAAGCCACTCCTGCGTTGTCTTGGCTGTGTGCTTATGGTCGCTGTCCTGTTGGAAGGTGAACCTTCGCCCCAGTCAGAGGTCCTGAGCACTCTGGAGCAGGTTTTCATCAAGGATCTCTCTGTACTTTGCTTCGTTCATCTTTCCCTCGATCCTGACTAGTCTCCCAGTCCCTGCCGCTGAAAAACATCCCCACAGCATGATGCTGCCACCACCTTGCTTTACCGTAGGGATGGTGCCAGGTTTCCTCCAGACGTGACGCTTGGCATTCTGGCCAAAGAGTTCAATCTTGGATTCATCAGACCAGAGACCATGTTTCTCATGGTCTGAGAGTCCTTTAGGTACCTTTTGGCAAACTCCAAGCGGGCTGTCATGTGGCCTTTTACTGAGGAGTGGCTTCCGTCTGGCCACTCTACCATAAAGGCCTGATTGGTGTAGTGCTGCAGAGATGGTTGTCCTTCTGGAAGGTTCTCCCATCTCTACAGAGGAACTCTAGAGCTCTGTCAGAGTGACCATCGGGTTCTTGGTCACCTCCCTGACCAAGGCCCTTCTCCCCCGATTGCTCAGTTTGGCAGGGTGGCCAGCTCTAGGAAGAGGCTTGGTGGTTCCAAACTTCTTCCACTTATGAATGATGAGGCCACTGTGTTCTTGGGGACCTTCGATGCTGCAGAAATTTTTTGGTACCCTTCCCCAGATCTGTGCCTCGACACAATCCTGTCTCTGAGCTCTATGGACAATTCCTTTAAACTCATGGCCTGGTTTTTGCTCTGACAACTGTGGGACCTTATATACACAGGTGTGTGCCTTTCCAAATCATGTCCAATCAATTGAATTTACCACAGGTGGACTCCAATCAAGTTGTAGAAACATCTCAAGGATGATCAATGGAAACAGGATGCACCTGAGCTCAATTTCGAGTCTCATAGCAAAGGGTCTGAATACTTATGCAAATAAGGTATTTCTGTTTTTTATTTAAATAAATTAGCAAACATTTCTAAAAACCTGTTTTCGGTTTGTCATTATGGGGTATTGTGTGTAGATTGCTGAGGAAAATGTTTTATTTAATCCATTTTAGAATAAGGCTGTAACGTAACAAAATGTGGAAAAAGTCAAGGGGTCTGAACACTTTCTGAAGGCACTGTATATGAACATCCCTCACAGCACTTCAATCATTCAAAGTTAGAACCATCTGAGAACTTTTGAAAAGGATGCATGTTTTTGGGAGCAACTTGAATTGAACTTCAACTGATGAGGTGCCTGTTAGTGGTGTGCTGGTCAGCTGTTTGTTCACCCGCACCTTCCCGCAATTGCTAATAACCTATCCGCAACCGCCAGAATATATGTGATAAAGTGGAAGTGAAAATCTGAGGCCCGCACCCAACCCTAACCCGCAAATATAGAAAAATCACTATAGGCTACAATCAAAGATGGCAGAAATATTTTTTGACAGGGGGTGCAGGATTTTCTTTGTTTCTGCTTAGAATTTCCAACATTTTGGTAGGCTATAATTCGATACATGTAGCTTCTCTTTTGTCATTATATGTTGCCCTAGAAGACTAAGTAAACCCTTGCTCAACAGAATAATGGCATAGATCGATAGAATGAATGCTTCAATCTAGTTGACATCGGTAAAGTTTTTTCTCTGTCATCTTTTGCAGAGCAAAGACGTTTAGGGACTAGGGAGAAAATACAGTAATGAAAAGAAAAACAAAACTGGAAAGATTTTCAGTGCAAAATGTCCAAATGACATTAGTTTGATCGGTTGTAAGAAAATAGAAAGCTGTGAAAACGACCCAACATGTTTCTGATAAGATTTCAGTTCGGCTTCGATGCATATTTTATGTGGTTGAAATACTATCAGCTTTTATTATCCTTTTATGATGAAGACAGCACCTCTACAGATGTTATGTAACTGAGCATTACTTTCTTTCAAGATGCAGAAAAAAAGAAATAATATTTCTCCACTCCTGTTCCCAAGTCCAAAACACAATATTTAATGACCCTAAACCCATCTGCCATGCGGATATAACTGCGGGCACTACGGGTTATGAGTCAACCCGCGCATCACTAAACAATTCTCTTTCATCCCCATGTGGCCATTCTTGATACTGACAGTATACATACAGGTCAAATCAAATCAAATGTTATTTGTCACATGCTTTGTAAACAACAGGTGTACACTAACAGTTAAATGCTTACTTATGGGTCCTTTTCCAACAAAGCAGAGTTAAAGATAAAAAATTAAATAAAAAATGTAAATAGTGACATGAGGAATAAATAGATAGATTAGCTGACAACGTCACGAAAACAATGCGCACGCTTTAATGGGGCAGACATCTGCGTGTTGTTGTGATTTTGGATGGCCAGATAGCTAGCAACAATGACAAGAAACTGCCATGTGGGGAATCGTAAGTGACTCGTTCCATCTAGTTTCATTTTGTTCTTGATACCATGTCCTGTTTTGAGGTGTTTTGACTGATTTCATGTCAATGCTAATATGGCAAAAATTCACTAGCTAGCTAACCAACAACTGTAACGATGTATTTGAGAGACAACAAGTGCTCATTGTGCAAATGTATTTGTTTTCAATAAACATTGGAGACTAAATATAGTTTACATGTTGTCAACAATCTAAGCCAGGAGTAGGCAACCCTGGTCCTGGAGTGCTGCAGGCACTTCATGTTTTTCATTTAACCAACCTGGAAGACCAGGTGTGTTGAATTTAGGCAATCACTGAACTGATCAATTAGCTCAGTTGGTCAGGTGTCTAGTTGGAACAAAATCCTGCAGTACCTGAGGCACTCCAGGAACTGGGTTCCGTGCGGTAGCAGAGAGAACAGTCTATGGCTTGGGTGGCTAGAGATTTTTGGGGGGGCCTTCCACCACCTGGTATAGAGGTCCTGGATGGCAGGGAGCTCGGCCCCAGTGATGTACTGGTCCGTACTCACCACCCTCTGTAGCGCATTGCGGTCAGGTGCCTTGCAGTTGACGAACTAAGTGATCATGCAGCCAGTCAAGATGCTCTCAATGGTGCAGCTGTATAACTTTTTGAGTATCTGAGGGCTCATGCCAAATCTTTTCAGCCTCCTGAACGGGAAGGGGCGCTGTCGTGCCCTCTTCACAATTGTGTGGGTGTGTGTGGACCATGTTAATTCCTTAGTGCTCGCTCCTCCAATTCCAGTCGTCCACGAAAGGCCCTTACAGGTTACACAGGTTACAGGCTACTGGTACTACTCTCTTTCTCCCCCATGTGGTCTGTTCTGTTCTGTTCACTAGTTACTGTGTCAAGGGCCAGACCTGACCAGGGTAACTGACCTTGATAGAGAGGCCGGGGGTGCCTGGTATCCCGGGGCGACCGTCCTGTCCAGGGGTCCCTGCAGGTCCCACAAAGCCCTTGGCCCCGTCATTCCCTGGACGCCCTAGGGTACCCTGGGTAACAGAGAGAACATCATTCATCATCATTCAGAATTCATTCAACTGAAAAGAATATGACTTATCATCGCACGTGTCTGACTGTGTGTGTGTGTGTGTGTGTGTCTCACTGGTATTCCTGGGATCCCTGGTTCTCCTTTCCTCCCAGGCAGACCTCCTCCTGAAACAGCCAACCCTGGCTCACCCTGGAACACCACCAGAGAACCAGCTTAGTGAACATCCAACACACACAGCAGATGGGATGACATACAATGTATAGTTTACTGAGGATAAAGAGGTGTACTGTACTCACCCTGTCGCCCCTGTCACCCTTTGTCCCTGGTGCTCCTGTAAGCCCAGGATCACCCTGCCACAGAGAAAACATCAAACATCAAACTTCATAATACAACAACACACACATAAAACAAACATCAAGGCAAGATACAGTATAAACAGATCCCATTGGCGTTGCTGAGGGATACTCACAGGATCTCCTCTGACACCCGGTAGCCCCTGTGAACCCTGAAAAAGACAAAATAGCAAAACATATTTCGTTAAACCACGTCTACAGCAGGTTAGACAAACTCAGTGGCAATGTGGTTAGAGTGTCCACCCTGAGATTGAAAGGTGGTTTGATCCCCAATAACTAAAAAAATGGGACCAGATGCCTCTCTGCTTGGCACTCAGCATTAAGGAGATGGATTGGGGCTAAGGCTCTGCGACAGCCTACTGTCCTCTCCAGGTGATGAACTTGTACATCAAGCTGCCTCACGCTACAGAAACAGGAGATAGCCTCCTGCCCCTATGGGCTGTTCAGACAAGGCTTACTTACTTTCAGCAGGTTGACCATCTACTACTTACAGTATAAGAACATCAGGATAACAACATGTGTTATTGGCAAGTTGATTTACACATTGTGATTGGCCCTGGCTGTGATTGTGGCCCCTGACTACTCACCGGGACACCTCCAGGGCCTGGGGTCCCTGTTCGCCCTGGCAACCCTGGACCCCCATCCAGACCAGGAAAACCCTGGAGAATAAACAACAGTAAATACAGCAGTACAGATGTAGGATCTTAATTTGAGCCAGTTTGCTATAGCAGGAAAATAATCCTACAGGAAATGTGGATTATAATGAACAGACATTTTTGTAGAGGTTGATACATTTTTAGTTAGGGTAAATCAAGTCTGTCATTTTAAAGTGGAAATTAAAACTTTAGAAGCCTTTTTAAACCTCAGATACACTACAAGTTTGCATATCCTGATATGCAGGTAAATTCTCAGCACCAAAAGAGTGATTAAATTAAGATCCTACATCTGTATCACTACAACAGTACAAGTGTTGAGTATAAGTGTTAATGTGTACTCACCCTCTCCCCCTTCTCCCCTCTGACCCCCTCACTTCGGCCAGGCTGACCCTGTCGCCCCTCAGGCCCCCTGGGGCCGTCCCTGCCAGGCAAACCATCACGACCCTGGAAATCACACATACACACACACACACACACACACACACACACACACACACACACACACACACACACACTCTCAGTGGATGATAAGAGGATGCTAATGTTTGAGCTGCCAGTGTTAGATCAGTAATCAGTGGTGAAAGACTCACAGGCTCTCCTTTGCGTCCGTCAGTACCGTCTCTTCCACTCCCTCCCTGTAACAGAGGGTCAGTAACTGATCAGGACAACTGACACAACTACTGACCATAGAACTTCCAAGACAACATACAGTAACAGAACATGGTATCAAAACCATTCAATTGCTACCTTTTCTCCTCGCTCCCCCTGGTCACCCTAGAGAGAGTGAAATGAACACATATGAGAGATAGCAGGGCAAAGAGGGATGAAAATGAGAGCACACAGAAGTTGAAAGGTATGGTGATAGTGCAATGATGGCTACGTGTGTGTGGATGGATGAGGTAAAGTACAGTAACTCACCCGAGGACACTGTATGGTACACTGCTCTGTCCCTGGGCCCTGATATAGAAAACAACAACATACACACTGAGACCCAGAGCATTCCACCATATTGTTGCGACTTAGTCCCTGGAAATGATTAACTGACTTACTGACTGGGAGAGCTTACATTGACAGCAAAATCATGGGATCTACAGCATGGTCTGACTTCTAATCTCTCTTTCTCACCTCACCTCCCCACCAACTTTTCCCCTCTTATCTCACCCCTCCCTCTGGTATCCTGGCGACGCCACACAGCAGGTCAGCCAGGTCGGCATGCAGGTTGCCCAGCTGGGTGGCATCACGGGCATATAGGAGGTTCTGGGTGCTGCCATCTGTCACCGCCTGGCGCAGCTCCTCAGAGTCCGCCCGACCTATACCCACCGCCAGCACCGTCACACCTGATACACACACACACACACACGGCCATCTAAATATTGGGAATTTTTCTATTTATTGTTCAAAATGTTCGTTTTAAAACATTGAGTGACAAGGGACTGTAGGTTAAAAGTTACTGTTGAATATTCCATTAGTAGAGATGTGCGGGTGCTGTACAGTCTGTGTGAGGCTACCTGAGGCTTTGATAGCACTGGCTGGGACAGTGACGTTGTCAGAGGATTTTTCATCTGCAATGATCACCACCGCACCAGGAACTCTGGGTCTACGACCAGCTGTGGGGCTGAGAAGGAACTGTCTGGTGAACGTCATCGCCTGGCCTGCAGGGGGAGATACACATTTACATATCATCACACACCATAGAGATGTATAGAGATCTCAACTTTGTATCTGTGCCATTATGGTATCTGTGACAGCATTGGCAGCGCCACTGAGGCTATCTCTATTTTAAAGTAGTACATTTTCTTCTTCTTTTGATGTTTGAAAAAAGTGTAAAGCTAATATTGGTGATTTACTGCCACCTGCCGTGCTGGAGTCTTGAACAAAATGTTGTGTGTCAATAATTTATTGTGGCCATTAGATGCCGGTCATATAGCTTAAAGCCATTAACAAACTAGGCAAACCAATTTGAAGAAGGCAATGCTCTGATCATTGGCTGATCGCTCCCAACCCACAAAAATCCCCACCAAGTTAACAACAATATAATGGTGGAAGCCCTTAATGGCAATGGCAATGCAAAAACGGGTTATTTCAAAGTAATCTCTATATCTCTCTATGTCACACATACACATGCACATGCACATGCACTCACACTCACACACAAACACACTCACTCACACACACACTCACACACACTCAAGCACGCATGCACATTCACACAGGTACGTACAAAGCACACACACCTATAGCATTCCCTGGGCCATCCTCAAAAGGCGTGGACAGGATCTCCTGAAGCAGCGTCTCACTGCTGCTATGGCGATTGAGCAGGAACCAGACCTTGGGTCGGGCGCTGTACACTACAATCCCCAGCTGGAGGATACAGGAAGAACACCAGAAAAACACACCATAGAATCACACAGAAGAACACTAGCAGCCAACACACACATATCACAGATGTCTGTTCCTGTAGAGTACCTGTGAGTCCCGTTCTCCAATGGTAGTGAGGGAGCCGGCAGCGCTGGTCAGGAGGGAGAGCAGAGAATCAGCCAGGCTGGCCCGATCCCTGGAAGCTGGAACCAGGAATACCACGTCGAGACGACCACCCACACACACTGAGGACAGAGCGATAGAGAGAGAGGAGGGGTTGGAAAATAATGTGTTGGGTTAGTTTTTCTTGGGTAAAGGCTTATATAATGTCAAGTATTGTTTTGTTTAAAGGCCATAGTTTAGGAACTACTGGTTAAGTGGTACAAGGGCCGGTATGAGGACTGAGGAGAGGGGATAAAAAGGAGTGATGTCAGTCTTACCAGTGCGTTCGTCCACTGAGGTCTCAGGGCCCACCTCTCTCTGGAAGCTGGGCTGCAGGGTGAAGCGGTATTTCAGGCCCAGACGTAGCCCTGTCACCCTGTAGGAGCTGGATGACCCAGGCAGTGGGATGGATTGACCCGGACCAGTGTCTGGTTAGAGAAAACACACACACACACGGGCACCCACATATACAAGCACGTACAAGTACACACACACACAGGCACACACAAGCATGCACACACACACAAAGATTAGTGATCAACCTTTCAATGTGGAACATAGTCAGTAAACTACCAAACTTGACCCCATTATGCAGTGTTGCTGTCTCACCTCTCTCCTCTTTCCAGCGCAGGATGTATCCTGTGGCACCAGTCAGTGGAACCCAGCCTAGCAACACAGAATTCTGGGTAACCTCTGCCACACGCAGACCTGTTACAGGCTGTAGGGGAGCTAAAGGGAGGAGAAGAGGAGTGAGTGATCAGTTAAGAGAGAGCCAACCGTATGTGAGTGACTTCAGTAATCGTGTGATAGAGGACATTGAGAGGTTGTGACTATACAGTTATAACCTATAGCCATAACCACAAAAACCTTGGGTTTTTGATAAGATTTGATCTTGGTCAGGTCACATGGTCAGGAAAACTCCTGTCCCTAACTATAGTGAATGAAAGTAGAGGAGATGGTGTGGGCAGAGAGGTGTACCTGTGGAGGCAGTGATAGTGACAGCTTGACTCTCTCTGTCCCTGAAGATGGCAGCCAGCCTCACAGTGTAGCTCACCCCAGGCCGCAGACCATCCAGGTCAAACGAGGTCGCATCTCGACCTATCAGACGGCTCGATTCAGCCTCACCTGCATGGAACCAGTAGAGAATATTAGAAAACGTAAAATAAATATTTGATGCCCCCAGAAAATGGCAAATAAATATGTTTGGATGCGCATTTTATGTATGTATCTGTGTCTGTGTGTTTGTGTTTACCCAGGGCTGATCTCCAGTAGATGCGGTACCCTGTGACCCCAGCCATCCCTCTCCAGACCAGACGCAGTACCCCTGGGGTAGCCTCCACCACCCTGACCCCCTCCATACGGTCCACAGCAGCAGGTTCCCCTGCTACACACACACACACAGAAATTACACAATGAGCAAGGAAATACTGAGAATACTGAAAGAGGAAATACAGTACATAGCAGTACGCATTAAAACCCCACGTTACAGTCAATTCAGGAAGTACACTGAAATTCCAATTATCTTCAGTGCTTTTCAATGAGGACAATTTGGAATTGGATTATTATTTATTTAATTTAAAAAAAAATGTGTGATTACAATCTTGTCTCATCGCTGCAACTCCCCAACGGGCTCGGGAGAGGCGAAGGTCAAGTCATGCGTCCTCCGAAACATGACCCGCCAAACCGCGCTTCTTAACACCCGCTCGCTTAACCTGGAAGCCAGCCGCAATGTGTCGGAGGAAACACTGTTCAACTGACGACCGAAGTCAGCTTGCAGGCGCCCGGCCCGCCACAAGGAGTTGCTAGAGTGCGATGAGCCAAGTAAAGCCCCCCCGGCCAAACCCTCCCCTAACCCGGACGATGCTGGGCCAATTGTGCGCCACCCTATGGGACCCCAGGCTGTAGTGACGCCGCAACACTGCGATGCAGTGGAATTGAAATGGAATTGACCCCAACCCTGCTACATAGTAATTCAGTAAAGTTATACCTTCCAATGTTTTCATATCCATCCTAATCAAACAGAGGTACAATGTTACCACACAGTCTCTTTTCTTTAAGACTGTAGTGTAACTCACGTGTGGTGATTCTGACAGAGACTGGGGATCCCTCTCTGTTCTGAACCAGGGCCATGACCTGCACCTCATACTGAGCCCCCGGGTCCAGCTGCTCCAGGTCCACCGCTGTCAGGTCACCACCCACCAGCTGGCTCCTCTCCTCCCCACCTATACCAAGACAGAAGGGGTGCTGGTGAGTGGTCTGGCACACAATGGCTGCCATGTTTCATTAACACACAGCAAATTCTCCACCGTTAAATCAACACTGACAGCGTTACATTTAACACTGGTCCAGTGTCTATACGGGTCCACACTTTTCAGTGTTAAATTAACACACTGCTTAGTGTAAAGCCTTATTTAAATATTTCCCAGAGTGCCTTGCCTTTTGAATGAAGTGTAAAATCACCACCAATGACTGTCTTTGTTAGTGTCAGATATCCTAAGTGAGAATTATTTAACACAATACAAAGTGTATCTTATAAAGCCTTAGACTCTTATGGGTTAACAGGAACAACCATTTCAGTAATGGATGCAAAGTAACAGATTGGATTAGTTTAGAAAAATGTATGTTATTTATATTTGAGTAGCACAAGGTTAATTAATCAATCATTGTACATGCAAAAACATAGATAATGAAACAAACAATTCTAAAAATCAACCTGCAATAGAGGATGCTAGGAAATATGATAATGATGGGCGTGGTTTTGGTTTAACACTGGTTATTAACACCAACACTGGGGTTATTTTACACTTACAGAGTTAATTTAATACCTGAATCAACACTAGAAATGTTACACTGAAAACTCAACACTAAGTAACACTGGCCAATTTGCTGTGTATATAAAACTCAGCAAAAAAAGAAACGTCCTCTCACTGTCAACTGCGTTTATTTTCAGCAAACTTAACATGTGTAAATATTTGTATGAACATAACAAGATTCAACAACTGAGACATAAACTGAACAAGTTCCACAGACATGTGACTAACAGAAATGGAATAATGTGTCCCTGAACAAAGGGGGGAGTCAAAATTAAAAGTAACAGTCAGTATCTGGTGTGGCCACCAGCTGCATTAAGTACTGCAGTGCATCTCCTCCTCATGGACTGTACCAGATTTGCCAGTTCTTGCTGTGAGATGTTGCCCCACTCTTCCACCAAGGCACCTACAAGTTCCCTGACATTTCTGGGGGGAATGGCCCTAGCCCTCACCCTCCGATCCAACAGGTCCCAGACGTGCTCAATGGGATTGAGATCCGGGCTCTTCGCTGGCCATGGCAGAACACTGACATTCCTGTCTTGCAGGAAATCACGCACAGAACAAGCAGTATGGCTGGTGGCATTGTCATGCTGGAGGGTCATGTCAGGATGAGCCTGCAGGAAGGGTACCACATGAGGGAGGAGGATGTCTTCCCTGTAATCCACAGCGTTGAGATTGCCTGCAATGACAACAAGCTCAGTCCGATGATGCTGTGACACACCGCCCCAGACCATGATGGACCCTCCACCTCCAAATCGATCCTGCTCCAGAGTACAGGCCTCGGTGTAACGCTCATGCCTTCGACGATAAACGCGAATCCGACCATCACCCCTGGTGAGACAAAACCGTGACTCGTCAGTGAAGAGCACTTTTTGCCAGTCCTGTCTGGTCCAGCAACGGTGGGTTTGTGCCCATAGGCGACGTTGTTGCCGGTGATGTCTGGTGATGACCTGCCCTACAACAGGCCTACAAGCCCTCAGTCCAGCCTCTCTCAGCCTATTGCGGACAGTCTGAGCACTGATGGAGGGATTGTGCGTTCCTGGTGTAACTCGGGCAGTTGTTGTTGCCATCGTGTACCTGTCCCGCAGGTGTGATGTTCGGATGTACTGATCCTGTGCAGGTATTGTTACACGTGGTCTACCACTGTGAGGACGATCAGCTGTCCGTCCTGTCTCCCTGTAGCGCTGTCTTAGGCGTCTCACAGTACGGACATTGCAATTTATTGCCCTGGTCACATCTGCAGTCCTCATGCCTCCTTGCAGCATGCCTAAGGCACATTCACGCAGATGAGCAGGGACCCTGGGCATCTTTCTTTTGGTGTTTTTCAGAGTCAGTAGAAAGGCCTCTTTAGTGTCCTAAGTTTTCATAACTGTGACCTTAATTGCCTACTGTCTGTAAGCTGTTGGTGTCTTAACGACCGTTCCACAGGTGCATGTTCATTAATTGTTTATGGTTCATTGAACAAGCATGGGAAACAGTGTTTAAACCCTTTACAATGAAGATCTGTGAAGTTATTTGGATTTTCACTAATTATCTTTGAAAGACAGGGTCCTGAAAAGGGGAGGTTTCTTTTTTTGCTAAGTTTATATATGTTAAGTGTGGCTGGTGTGAATAGAGGTAATTCCTATATGAAAATGAGCTATGGATAGTGCGCTATTTAATCATGAAATATCATGGAAAATCATTCACATTTCAAAACATTCACATCCTCTGTAGCTCAATTGGTAGAGCATGGCGCTTGTAATGCCAGGGTAGTGGGTTCGATCCCCGGGACCACCCATACGTAAAAATGTATGCACACATGACTGTATGTCACTTTGGATAAAAGAGTCTGCTAAATGGCATATTATTATATTATTAAAACAGTAAAACTAATCAAATCTCTCACCATCAATTCGCTTCCAAGCCACACGATAGGCTGTTGCTCCCTGCACGCCCACCCATGTTACTCTGACGACCTCACCGCGGGACTCCTGGACTGTGAGTGAGGTCACTGTTCCCACCACCACCTGGTCTGACTCTGAGGACAGAGAAGTGGAAGATATCAGTCACCAATTTACAAGCACTGGTCTATAGGACAGCACTCATTTCATTAATTAATTAAATCAATCTTTAAATTAACTAAGTGAAGCTGTTACCATATTGTTGACAGCTAACCAACTCATTCAAATCTACTAGGGGCTATCAAGAAGAGAAGGGGTTAGGGGTCAATTTGTTAATGGAGCGATGGAGCGATACCTGTTCTGGTGTTCAGGGAGGCGGGGTATCCTTCCCGAGACCCAATCAGTGAGGAGACTGACACCTGGTAGGAGGAGTCTTCCTGAAGGCTGTCGATGGTGAAGGAAGTGACATCAGCGGCCACCGTGCGGGATGACTCCACTCCTGTAGACAGATGGGGTCAGGCCATAGAGAATGATAGAGAAAGCATCCCTATATAGTTCCAATTATGGCGTCTGTGAGCGCACAGGCAGCGCCATTGAGGCAATAGAAAATATTTTTCTTTACGATTGGCTGATCCCTCCTGATGACCTGCTTGGACATGACTCCAACAGGGTCATCAGGAGGGATCAGTCAATAAAGTTGGAAGTCACACCCAGTTGACTACATTAAAATGGTGTAAGCCCTCAATGGCTCTGCCCATGCTAAAACAGCCTTTTGGCCACTAGAGGCCTCTATCATTCTCTATGGGTCAGGCAGAGGTGAACGCTACTGGGGATTGCTATTACTGTATTACTAGACTACAGCAACTACTAGACAATAACCAATACAATGCGTTCTTTGAGCCTTAATATGCTTTGAGACCTAAGGTAAGGATCCATAGGAATGTAATTTATACGTCAGATAAGACCCATCTCACTTATCGTAACCACGCCTACCATTTCCACTGCGCCAGGTAATCTTGTAGCCAGATGCCCTGGAGACCGGTAACCATGTGATGCGTATCCTCTGAGAGGTGACATCAATGATACGCAGGCCGCTAACCGTGCTTGAGCTTGAGCCGTTGTTGCCATTGGTCCTGGCCGAGAGGGTGACCACCTCCCCAATACGTTGACCAATCACAGCCGCCACGCCCAGGACCAGAGCCTCATTTGGCTGCAGCCCCTCCACCGTGTAGGGCGAGGCCCCTGGCCCCAGAACACGGGACTGCTCCGCATCTAGGAGACATACACACTGTTATAGACACACACACTGGGACTGCTCTGCATCTAAAGGAGAGGGTGAGAGAGACAGTAACACATACATACAAAAATAGGGACTGCTGCTATAATTATGTTATCATAACATTGTATTTCTGAGGACTAGTTTATCACAAAATCATTCCAAGCATAATTCAGCTGACACTTACTGTTGCCTTGTCTCCAAGTGACCCTGTACCCTGTCGCTCCGGAAACCCCTGTCCAGGCGATTCGGAGTCGCCGACCATTGGTGTTTGTCACACGCAGGTTGGTCACTTTCTCCAATGCTTGTTCTAAAATCACAAATCAATAAGAACATTGCAGTTTAGTGGACAACCAAACCATTTCCCATGTTCAATATCAGTGGACAACCAAACCATTTCCCATGTTCAATATCAAACGTATATTTCCCATTTCAAAACATTTTCCCATTTCGTGCCTACTAAACACGGCCCTCTTCTTTCATCTCTGTCTGTTCTTGCCTCAGCTCACCTCTCCTCAGTATCAGTATTCAACACCCATTCACATTGACAATCAGCTGGCAGCCATTCATTCAGCCACAACCACAACACAGCACTGTTTACCAAACTGGCAAACACACTGCAGCTCTGAGCCAAGATCTGCACCCATTCAATCTGTCTACATCCTCTCTCTCACAGGCTGGAGCACGCACTAGCATACAATGAGTGTGTGTGTGTGTGTGTGTGTGTGTGTCTCACCTGCTTTGATGTAGACAGTGACTGGGTCCCCCTCGCTGTCTCCCACCACAGCTGTCACGCTGACCCCATAAGACACGCCCTCCGTCAGACCCCTAAGGTCAAGGGTCGTCTGGCTTCCAGGGATACTGCGGGTTTCCTCTGTTTGCGCTGTAAGTACAGAGTGTTAAAACATATATGTGGCTTCTGATCTAAAGTAGTACACTATATAGGGAGGGAATAGGGTGTCATTTGAGATGTGCCCTTACCTTCAGTGTTGACCATGAGGATACGGTACTGCGTTGCCCCGGCAACCCCTGTCCATCCCAGTCGCACAGTGCTGCCCAGGTACTCTACCACTCGCAGGTTGGACACCCTCCCCACCAGCTGTTCCACTGTACACATGATGGGGGGGGGTCAGTCAAATGGTGAAACAAATAAGATACAAATAATCAGTGAAATACAAAAGTAAATATTAAATATAAAGGGGCTAAAAAAAGGGGGTGCGCTTGCCCCTATCCCTGACCTGTGGGAGAGGTGGAGACGGGAGTGGCCTCTTCCCGTCCCTCATACAGGGTGAACAGGGTGATGACATATTCAGTGCTGGGTTGCAGCCCTGACAGATCATAAATAGTGGTGTTCCTGGAGAACGACTGACTCTGTACTCTGCCACCTGAGGAGAGAGAGACTACAGTAAGTCAGTTTGATGTTGACAGTCAGTGAGGGTACATCTATGTTTGTGTGAGTGGATCGGTGTACTCCAAGTACTTCAATGTTGAGGGGTTTGAAAGTACAGGAATCTTTAGTTTGTATGTGTGAGCACACTCATGTGGCGTACGTGTCTTTACATGTGTATGCGAGCATGAGCGTGTGTGTGTCTGACCTTCCCCCTGCCTCCACTCCAGGCGGTATCCCCTGGCAGACTGGATAAGGTTCCAGGTGAGGCGGATGGAGGAGGGCCCGGTGGTGGCTGCCCTCAGCACCTGCTGCTCCAGACTCTCTGCATGGGGGGAACAGAGATACAACACAACCATGGGTCTGATCAACTGATACATCATGGTATGCCAGAACCTCTTAAAAACCCCTTCAGGGGATATTTAAGCAATAAGGCACAAGGGGGTGTGGTATATGGCCAATATACCACGGCTAAGGGCTGTTCTTAGGCACGACACAAGGGCTGTTCTTACCACAAACCCCCAAGGTGCCTTATTGCTATTATAAACTGGTTACCAACGTATTTAGAACAGTAAAAATATATGTTTTGTCATACCAGTGGTATACGGTCTGATATACCACGGCTTTCAGTCAATCAGCATTCAGGGCTCGAACCACCCAGTTTATAATCAGCTATTAGAGGGGATTTCAATTCATAATGCATCTTAGTTGGACTGCCAGTATACTTATTTTGAACAACTCTTAGCTACACAAACATTGTGTGTTTTCTCTTCCATTTGAGATCAAATATCCCAGAGAGGAGCATTAGGAGGCATTCTGTTTTAAATAGCTACAGTATGCCACCCCCTCCCTGATTTCAATCCAGACCAATAAACATGATGATGACTCAGCTTTAACTCAAACAACCCAAATCCCTTGTTAAGTGAAGACATCCCTCTAAAATTAGTCATACACAGGAAGCAGTATGTGTATGTGTTTGTGTGTGTGTTTTCTGCACAGTATGCATGTGTGCTACAGATTTAACTTCCAAAAAAGGATAAACAGTGAATATTTAGTAAGCAGAATAATATAATTCTCTCTCTGCCTCTACTTCCTCTATTTTCCACTGCCTCTACTATCCTCCTTTACACTACGGTCTGTTGGACACAGTGGAAGTTACTGGGACACAGTGGAAGTTACTGGGACAAAGTGGAAGTTACTGGGACAAAGACTGAGAGGAAAATAGACTGAGAGCGAGAGAGGAGGAGAGGGAAATGTATTTGTGTTTCAGTGATCTCTCCAAATTGTGTGTGTGTAGCTCTGTACCTATCTTGAACCTGGTGGTAGCACGAGGACCCTCTGTGTTGCCTTCGTAGAGGGTGATGACAGTGACAATGTACTCAGTGTCTGGCTGCACGTTCAACAGGGTGTGAGTCTCACTGTCACCAGCCAAATCCACAGACTCCACATCACGACCTGGGAGAGACACAGAGGTGGGGGGAGAGGAGAGAGGGGTTGGGGGTAGAGGAGAGAGGGGCGGGGGGCGGGGGGCGGGTGGAGAGAGGGGTGGGGGGAGAGGAGAGGAGAGAGGGGCGGGGGAGAGGAGAGAGGGGCGGGGGAAGAGAGAGGGGCGGGGGAAGAGAGGGGGAGAGGAGAGAGGGGCGGGGGGAGAGGAGAGAGAGGCAGGGTGGATGAGGAGAGGAGAGGCAGGGGAGAGGGACGAGGAGAGGGGGCAGGGGGGGAGTAGAAGAGAGGGGAGCGGGGGAGAGGAGAGGGGCGGGCGAGGGCGGGGGGGGAGAGGAGAGGGGAGGGGGGGAGAGGAGAGAGGGGAGGGAGGAGAGGAGAGGGGGCAAGGGGGAGAGGAGAGGGAGAGGGGGGGGGGAGAGGAGAGGGGGGGGGGGGAGAGGAGAGGGGGGGGGGAGGAGGAGGAGAGGAGAGAGGGGATGGTGGGGAGAGGAGAGAGGGTGGGCGGGAGAGGAGAGAGGAGGTGGGGGGAGGAGGAGAGGGGTGGGGGAGAGGAGAGAGAGGGTGGGGATGGAGAGGGGGGGGGGGAGAGGAGAGGAGGAGAGGGAGTGGGGAGAGGAGAGAGGGGGTGGGGGGAGAGGAGAGGGGTGGGGAGAGGAGAGAGGGTGGGTGTGGGTGGGGAGAGGGAGGAGAGAGGGTGGGGGGAGAGGAGAGGGGGTGGGAGGAGAGGAGAGGGGGTGAGAGGAGAGGAGAGAGGGGTGGGGGAGAGGAGAGGGGGTGGGAGGAGAGGAGAGGAGAGGGGGTGGGGGGAGAGGAGAGAGGGTGGGGGGAGAGGAGAGCAGAGGGAAGATAGAGGGCGGTATGGAGGGGTGAAAGAAAAGGACAAGGACAGTTGTTGTGCACACATAAATTGTGTCACTGACTGCTCACTATACAAAGTATTAACAGCCTTGCTGATTCTCTCCTAAATTCCATTCTGTGTCACTATGGATTTCTGAAGAACAACCATCCTGCGTAAATACATGTTAATAAGGTAAGTCTATATTGATGGATGCATGGGTACACAGGCACAGAATCTGCTGTCATTGGTCACTGTTTCTCTGCTCCTTACCGGTGAATGGTCCCCAGACCAGTCTGTAGGCCCTGGCTCCACCCACTCCTCTCCACAACACCCGGACGCTACGCTCTGACACCGTCTCCACTGACAGCTGCTGGGCCGCCTCCAGACGCACTGCAAGACACACACAACACGCAAACGCACACACACATACACACAGTGCTAAACACAGTGTACATACTGAAATAGGCACATGAGAACTTGTTCTCAACTGGCTTACCTGGTTAAATAAAGGTGAAATAAAAATAAATAAAAGAATAGGGCACAGATTAACAATATATGAGAGCTTCAGACTTTTTATTATTACTGCAGCACAAATAGTGACCACCAGATGGCAGTATGATGTTCTAACGATTAGTGGTAAACTAGGTAAAATAGTGTCAGAGAAACACGTGCAAAGCACCCTATCTGGCGATGACAACCTTTCTGATCACTGTTACCTTTCCACCTATGGTTCACATAAAGTCACAAATGCATGAGGCCAATTGGTATGGTTGACATGGCATGAAATCCATCCATCCAAAAACAGTTCCAAATGATTTCCTCTTAATGTAGCCTTCACACTACTGCCACAAGGCACTGTGGTTGCTGTGAGGTCAGGCTCAGGAGCATGATAACTGTAGAACTTATGTGCTCCTCTTCCATTGACAAACAATGGCTCATACCAATAATGTGAAGTGCACTTAAAACAGAAGATGATATAATGATGCATCATGCAGTACTGACTGAGGGTAATGGGAGAGAGGGGGTGTGGTGTACTTACATGTCCGTGAGGTGAGGGTGGCAGGGGAGGCAGAGTTTCGGGGGAACAGCGGGTAGAGGGTGAGGACGTACTCTGTGTCGGGCAGTAGCCTCTCCAGGGTGACAGAGGTGGAGTCTGCAGCCAGAGACTGCTCCACTAGCTGGGCCTTGGGCTGACCTGTCAATCAATCAATCACAGCCAGCCAATCACAAGGGTTAGAGCCGGCAACAGACAAGTAAATACACAGCTGACTATACACATCTTTAAATGCAGATGCTTATAGTGTATGTGTATGATATGAGGATGATCAGGAATAGTCTGGAGAACTGTTTGTGTGTGCCTGCCTGCCTTTCTGTCTGTCTGTCTGTCTGACCTGCAGCCTGAGGCAACCCCCACCCAGCTCCGCCCACATGCCCTTTCAGGCTGTTGCCAAGGCAACGTGCCAGCCTGAGAGGAATGTGTTGCCTGGCGAAATGGCCACAGATCTTCATCCTACCACAGACAAGGTATACAAGGGGTGTGTGGTAGTGTGTGTATGTGTGTGTGTGGGTTGTGCTGAGATTGGCAGTATTTCTGTTACATGTATTTGAAATACGTATTTCAATTACTTTTGAGCATTTTGTCATATGTATTTCACCGGCCTAAACTACAATCCAATGTATTTTGTAACAAGATACTTTCAAGACCTATAATTTGTATTTTCAAAATACAAAATACTTTTCTATACCATTTTTTATAACAGTTCACAATTTTGTGGCCCCTTTCACCCTGCATTGGTATAAGAACTCTGATGGCACTATGGTGTGATAAGAATGTCTGCTAAATGACCAAAATGTAAATGTAAAAATGAACACTTGCAAAGCATGCTTGGTCATTTAGCAGACACTCTTATCCAGAGCGACTTACAGTCAGTGCATACTGCATTCAACTAAAGTAGATAAACAACCACATATCACAGTCATAGCAAGTGGAATGGTTTGTGTTACCGTTACTGAGAATGTTGTTGTAGTACTTGCAAATTTATTTTGTATTTAGAAATGACAAAATACCTGTGTTTTTGTTTGATACGTTGGTCTTTAGAGTATCTTGTATTTGTAACAACACACATTTTGATGTATCTTTTGCCCGTCTCTGTGGGTGTGGGTGTACTGGGTGCATGAATTAGGGCTTGCAGTTGCTTGCTCCTACACATAGAATGTCTCCCCCATGTGAAAGCTCGGTGAATTGCAACAGTACTAGGCTGCATTCAAAACAAATCTACCGCCTCACCGCATCCCATTTTCCCATAACAGTGGGTTTTGATGGTGTTAAGAATGATCATAAATTCAGGAGAAAGGACCAGACTTGAATGCAACACTTTGACTAGTTGCCGTGAACACAGCTCCTCAACATCATCAGCTGCAACTCATTGCTAATCAGCCTCCACATCTGTCCTCACTCTCCTTAATCACCACTGCCAGCCTACTTAAACCTGACCAAACTAACATTGTCCTCTGTGTTCTGCAGTGGATGTCGCTTTCCACAGCACTGTGTGTTACCAGCCTTATCAAATTTAGCATCCGTCTCTATCTAGTGTCTCTTAGGTTCTTCCAAGGATCTCCTGGGGGGATTGCCATCACCGCAGCAGCCTAACTAACATGGCCTGATGACGTCTAGCTGTGACTCCAAGCTGAGCTCTACAGGGTCCACCCTGCGGATCCTTCATCTGCAGTCTTCGGCTTCATCCGGCCCATTCTCACCCCCTCCTGAATCCTTCTCACATCCATTCCATTTTCTCAATTAATATTTTAAATCCATTTCAATGTCTGGTCCTTATGCTTGTGAAACCAGAGTCGCCGCCTCCTCTTGACAATGCTTCGCTTGAAATTTGCATAAAATAGAGCAGAGCTCAACTTTTTCTGGTGCTCCGCTAGCAGGGTTCTCCCGCTCACAAACCCCCAAACGTTTGATGATTTCCTACCCTATTCAGTGCTTTTTTTCTGAAATTGAGAGAACAGTGTAGAATTTTTGCAACCAGGAAATGACAGAAGCCTTTCCGGCTTTTGTTGTCAAATAGAAATTCTGCATTTCAGAATGCGATTTTACATGTGCCCAAAATATTTTGAAACACTATCATTCCACTATTACTGCAGATATATTATGGACATTTTCTGAAATTACAATGCAAACATTCTATGTGTAGCACCTTTAAAGAATAAACGCTGACCTAATTGAAAACAAACAAGAGTGCCAGTCTGTCTTCCTAAAGGTTCTCCATGTGAGACTGGTACTCCTGCCACACCCTGACTCAGGGATGGAGCTGCCACGCTGAGTTATGTTGTGTGCGTATGGTGGTAGTTCCTCAGGGGCACGTCACACCACACACCTCAACACACCCCATAAATAGATCTGACATAACACACCCTTTTCCTGTTATTGTATAGAATTGCAGCCACATTCAATCCCTACTACATACCTGAAGTTTCCCTATGTCTCTCCTGCATCGTTTTTAACGTCTCTGTAAAACTATCTGTAAAAGTGTATGTGATATTTGTGGTAATGATTGGGTAATAAAACTCTTCTCTGCCAGGCAGGGAGCGCCGGAGGGCGGTATAAGGTGAGACATGGTATCTCCATCATAGTACTGCATACTACCCTGATGTCCATAAATCTACACACATATTTACATCTCTCAACTTGCCATATGTAGGTTGTTGTCCCCATCCCTCCCTCTCTCCCCCCTTTCTGTGTCTGTTACACTCTCACCTGCCAAGAAAATATGTAAAGAGTTCAGTGTTTTATAATGACAGTTAACATGACGGCATTTATTTCTCCTTCATCTGTGAACAATCAATCAAATGTATTTTATAAAGTCCTGTTTACATCAGCAGTTGTCACATAGAATGAGAGTATGCTTGACTGAGCAGTAGTCGGAGTATAGGTGTTTAGGAATGTGTGTATGTGTGCATGAGTGCGTGTGTGTGTTTGTGCATACGTGCAAGCGTGCATGCTCATGTGTCTGACCTCTGGGTCCGTAGGTGAGTCGGTAGCCTTGGAACTGTGAGGTGGGAGCGTCCCAGGTCAGAGAGAGGGAGAAGAAACCAGCCTGGACCAGACGAAGACCGGACACCCCCGGTAGCGACTCTGAGAAACGAGGGGTGGAGAGGGAGGAAGGGAGAGAGGGATGATGGAGGAGGATAGACAGGGATGAGAGGCAGATGAGACGTACATGTGGTCTACTAGGATGGTTTGGCTTCACATTGGAGAGTGACACATTGAGGAGAAACGGGGGAGAACTTGTTAGTGACTAAAGAAAGACAGATGTGGAGAGAGGGGATGATATGACATGTCATTGAGAGGAAAGAAAGACTGTGTTGGTATGGTATCCAGAACTAATCTAAAATATACATAGATTGAAAGTAAAGATAAAGCTCCATTGATAAAGTGGTCGTGCTTCCTCCTGTCATCCCCATATCCTCCCCTTCCACACCAGTCTGCCTTATTGAATTGAAATGTATTGACATTTTACTCTCTTCTTCTCTCCTCCAGGCTTTCATCCCCCCTCCTCTTCCTCCCTGCATCTTTCTGTGTGTACTCACTGATTCGTGCCTTGGTTTCAAATGATCTCATCTTCTCCCCTACCCCCTCCCTCCTTCCCTCTCTCCCCTGCTGCCTCTGTCCCACCCTCTCTCTGTGTACTCACTGGTTCTTGCCTTGGCAGACACAGGCTCTCCCACACTGTTGGGGTACTGGCCGATGACCGTCACCAGGTAGTCTGTCCCTGACTTCAGCTCTCTGGCCACGAAGCTCCTCTGACTTGCAGACACCGTCTCCTGCAGGGGGGAGAAGGAGGGGTTAGTACATGAGAGATCTGCTCCCCGAGGGGGCAGCAGCATCATCTGATTTTTGACAAGAGACTGGTTTCTACCTGAGAAACTAGGTGTGTGTGCACTTTCTTGACAAACAGTATCACAAAGAAAAGAAAAGCAGCAGGATTGTGGACATGAGGATTGCACTTGTGCACCCCTGACATATATATGGAAACTGACATACAAAACTATTGCTGTAAATGGGTCTTCAATGTAATAACATAGCAACAGGTTTTGTCAAAGCCTTTGACTGGGGTGAATGTTCACAGACTAATCTATGTCATTCCTCATTATGATCATGAGAAGGTTTGCAAAGGGAGGGTATATTACTGGAAACTTTCTACGTTTACCAGTTAACTACCAGAATTTTGGTAACTTTAAAGGATTTTATGTAATTTCCACAAGACATCTAGTGGCCCTTTTGGGTTCTTCAAATTATCAGTGTAATTATCTCTGGCCCTCTGTGTGGCCTCATCACATAAAATATATAAAATAATAAAATAAGATGATTAAAAAAATTTAAGAATGACAAAGCTGTAAAACATTATACTAAATATAAACCATCAACTTAGTGAATACCATTGGTGTTCAATCTGAGGGTTTCAGCATGAAATATCTATTTATTAATTTTTTACACACACTTTTATTATTTTGACTACTGTATGTCAATATGTCTTTGTTGTAAATGTCTTGGCACCAAACTGGTGGCAGTTGTGAAAAAAGTCAATAGTTGGAAGAGTTGCAGAGTTAATTGAAAAGAATGCCATTGTTGATTAGATGCTTTTTTTTTATTAATTAGGCTATTTTCTCTTGAACCATATGGTCTATCCACTAGAAACTCATGGACAATATGGACACAGATACAGTATAACAAATGAATACTATATATGAATAAAAAAAAAGGTAATTAATGTATAAATTACCAACGTTACCATAGATTACCTGTTAATTACCAAAATTACAGAAGATTCTGGTAACTTTGGTAAATTACCAGTAGCTTTGCAACCCTAGTCATGAGTCATGATTGCCAACACACACACACAGTCACAGAGGGGGAATTTCAGTTTCCTGCCAACGTTTAATCTGCACAGACACAGAAACTCAATTAAACTCCAGATCCACCCATTAAAACATGTTCCTACTCAACCCAATCCCTCTCTCTCTGTCTGTCTGCCATTAAACAGGCTCCCTGGCTGCACCCACTCCCAAAACTGCAATGAGTCATTAGCATCTCGGTCTCATCTACAGTATGAGCTGCTGCCTGCTGCCCATCCCCTGAGTCAGGAATGAACACCACACCCCCCACCACCCAACCAGCAGTGCCCACCTGACGCAGCTCTGCTGTGATTGGCTGGCCAAGGCCAGAGAGTGGCGTGTACTGCACCACATAGCCAGTCACAGGCCCTCCAGCGGGAGTCCACCGGAACCTGAGCGAATCAGAGGTCTGGCTTGAGAACTGGAGGTTAGAGGGACCGGAGAAGGCCTCTGCAAGAAAAAGAGAGAAAGAGAAAGAGAGTGAGAAAGAGAGGTAGAGTGGAGGAGAGGTAAGACAATGAAAGAGAGATAAATATAGAGAGGGGATGTTTATAGTGTAATAGACTGTAATGTATTGTCCTGAGCTGTGTATGTTTACCATCGCTAGCGTAGACTCCACCAGTGCTGGAACACACACGCGGGCCCACCAGGGAGAGCAATGTGTTAAGCAACTTAAAGTCCCCCACAAAGAATGTGTAGTCTCTCTGAGGAGGAGTGGCTATCAGAGCCAACTCAAACTGGTCTGCACTCTTTATACCTGAGAGAGACAAAAACAACCAGTTAAATACTGTACACACACACACACTATCAAGATATACAGCCTGAGGCTTGTGGTCGGGTTTAATGAGTGAATTTGGCATTTGGCAGACGGTGTCGGAACATCAGGTCTCGGACCAACAGGTTCTACCTCCAGGCCATAAGACTGCGGAACTGTTAAACCTAGCTATATACCTGCACAGACCTGATATTCCCCTGCTTCTAGTGCTATTCTATACCTCTTGTTAATATTTAGATTTTGTCATCTGACTTTTGATTATTTTACTATACTGTTGAGGAGAGCTTGCAAGTAAGCATTTCACTGTACCGTCTACACCTGCTGTATCCTGTGCATGTGACAAATAAACTTTGATTTGAATGTCCTCCCAAACTTACCCACTGCAAACATCTCCACTCCCAGACTCCGCAGCTTCTGAGCCGGGTCTCTCACATTGTCTTGAGACTTCCCATCTGTGACCAATATACAGACCTGCATATATATATAGAGCGAGAGAGAGAGAGAGAGAAGGATAGAGAGAGAGAAGATAGAGAGATATAGAGAAGGAAGAGAGAGAAGCGGATCGCGAGAGTAGAGAGTAGCAGAGCAGAGAACTGATAGAGATAGAGAGATCCGAGGATAGAGAGAGAGCGAGCTAGCTAGAGAGATGGAGAGCAGCATCCGCTGCGCTAGCGCATTCTCCTAGCTATCTGAAGTCGATACTCGCTCGACGCGCTATACTACGACTACGACTCTCTAGATATTCGCGAGAGCGAGCGATCGACTCTAGCTACAAGATAGAAATGATAAATATGTAATGGTCTGTCACAGGACAAAATATAGTCTGTCTTTCAGTCCACTCTATCCCCCCTCAGACCTTTGAGACGTTCCGGATGGAAGTGGGGTTGAAAAAGTTGTCAGCCACAAATTTGAGGCCAGCACCGGTGCGAGTGTTGCCCCCCTTATAGTTGAGGTTCTCTACAGCGCTGACCAGCTCTGTGCCATTCAGGTATGTGGTGAAGGTGAACTCCACTCTGAACGGGACAAAACACACAACAATAAACAACTTCATTACCTGGGAAAAACCATACACTATTATTATGGCAGTAAGAGAGAAAGAGAGTAAGAGACAAGAATGGAGAGTCAAGTGTTATAGATATATATTGTCACTAGAAACAAACATTACAGACCAAACTCTCAGTGTCTGACCTTGAGGTGTCGCTGTACTGCACAGCGCCGAAGCGAATCCCTGATTGTCCCACGGAGCTGGTGAAGGGCTTGACGATGCCGGCCATGAAGCCCTTGACCTGCGGGAAGTTGGCCTTGCCGATACTGGACGAGCCATCTATCAGGAACACTATGTCTGCTGCTCCAACATTATTACACCTGCCTGAAGAGAGGTGCATTAGTGAGTCTCTGTATCTTAGCTCTGGGAGTTGTGGGCTACAGTAGGCTAGTATGATGATGCAAGTAGAGAGAGTTAGTGCAGAGGCATAGTATGGCTTTGAATAGATAGCTGTTTTACTGTAGGCAGAGGGGTCCATTTACCTTGGGCTTCAGCCTGGTGCCCTGAGGACAGCAGGACTGCCAGGGGGAAAACCCAGCTCCACATCTTCACAACCTGCACACAGACACACACAACTCTTACACTATACACATTCACATATACACTGTAGACACACGTACACTGAGTTGCAAAATATACACATAGACACAGACTGAGTGTGGTCTGACTCACAGCTGGCCCACAGTGTGTCCTCCACAGAGTGTGGAGGAACACATCACTCTACAGCCTGCCTTGTATCCCCCTCACTTCACTACAAGGACCTCACCATGTCACAGGTCAATGGAACTAACTAACTAACACTCTCAGGGAAGAAAGATTACTCACATTGAACACCAATATCACTGAAAAACACACTGCCTTAGTCAGGAGGAAATGGAGACAAGCTATAATTTATATTTTATTGAATTATTTGGGAAAAGGAGACACGTTAACCAAGCTATTAAGCACAGGCCTCAGATTATTAGCTAGTGATCACTGTTCAGAGCCATCTCTTATTTCTCATTCTGATTCTGTTTCCCAAAAAGTTGTCTGTGAGTGTTTTTGCATTGATCTGTGTCAGGTCTTGTGGACCCTCTGTTGGTGCGCGCCTGTAGGCTAATCACTACTTGAAATTGAGAAAATAGCATACCGTTGTTAGAGCTGACCAGAGGGCTAAATGCTCTATGATAGTAAAATGCCTTTTCATGTAAAATCCAACCCATAGCCCATGAGAGAGAACATTTGCTTGAAAATGAAACAATCACTTAGCGCGTCCTCAGAACTGTAGGTTACATTTACAGTGTGCAATGGACTGTCAAAGCCTCATGACATCTGAAGCAGAGTAGCTCAATGTGCCGTACAAACACTACATTCTAAAGTTTGCTGTTTTATTAAATTAAGCATTTCCAATGTCATGGTATATCCTTGTGTGTAACAATATAACATGGACAGTTTCATTTCATTTAAACAAAGCTTTTTCGTTATTAAAATAGGCCTAAAAAAATATATCAAAAAATGAATAGCCTACTCTCATAAGTGTTTAAACACTAAAGTCTGTTCGGATATCCAGATATTTGATTAACCATGACCATCCCCAGAGATCTACCATAGTGACATCTGCTGGTCAATAAATAGCATCGTGTGATTATCAGATAGACGTTTTTTTCTTTTTTTATCAAACCTCTGTGGAGCAGCGGTGTCATTAGCTTTAGTAGCCAATAATCAGTTGGAATACCAGGTTTGCAGCTTACATCACTCTTCCTTTTTTTGCCTTCCAGTTTACTATTTTTAGAAAACTTTTGACTGGTACTGTATATTGAAACAAACAATTCTAAAAATTAACCTGCAATAGATTAGGCTGGGAAATATGAAAATGATGGCCGTGGTTTTGGTTTAACACTGGTTATTAACACCAACACGGGGGTTATTTTACACCAATGAATGTTAATTTAACACTTACAGAGTTAATTTAACACCTGAATCTACACTAGAAATGTTACACTGAAAACTCAACACTAGGCAACACTGGCCAATTTGCAGTGCAGATTTTGGCGAGAGTGAAACCTCTCACTTCGCAATCCCTAAACAGAAGAGCTACTGCAAATAACAACCGGATGCTACTTTGGAACTAGTCGTACCAACAGGGACCACTTCAAACCTGCCTTGGGTTAAGAGAGGGAAAAAGCCATGTTCTGTTCTGATACCTTAACAAATGTAGACATTCATAATCAGACCTACTATCCAAATTTGGACATACACAAAATAGTCCAAGTGAAATGAAAAAAATAACTTTTTGAAAAAAAGTATACAGAATAAATAACGGAAAAGTGGTGTGTGCATATGTATTCACCCCCTTTGCTTTGAAGCCCCTAAATCAGATCTGGTGCAACCAATTACCTTCAGAAGTCAAATAATTAGTTAAATAAAGTCCACCTGTGTGCAATCTAAGTGTCACATGATCTGTCACATGATCTCAGTATATATACACCTGTTCTGAAAGGCCCCAGAGTCTGCAACACCACTAAGCAAGGGGCACCACCAAGCAAGCGGCACCATGAAGACCAAGGAGCGTTCCAAACAGGTCAGGGACAAAGTTGTGGAGAAGTACAGATCAGGGTTGGGTTATAAAGAAATATCTGAAACTTTGAAAATCCCACAGAGCACCATTAAATCCATTATTAAAAAATGGAAAGAATATGGCACCACAACAAACCTGCCAAGAGAGGGCCGCCCACCAAAACTCACAGACCGGGCAAGGAGGGCATTAATCAGAAAGGCAACAAAGTGACCAAAGATAACCCTGAAGTCCATAGGACCACTTTAAGCCATACACTCCACAGAGCTGGGCTTTACGGAAGAGTGGCCAGAAAAAAGCCATTGCCAAAAGGCATGTGGGAGACTCCCCAAACATATGGAAGAAGGTACACTGGTCAGATGAGACTAAAATTGAGCTTTTTGGCCATCAAGGAAAACGCTATGTCTGGTGCAAACCAAACACCTCTCATCACCCCGAGAACACCATCCCCACAGTGAAGCATGGTGGTGGCAGCATCATGCTGTGGGGATGTTTTTCATTGGCAGGGACTGGGAAACTGGTCAGAATTGAAGGAATGATGGATGGCGCTAAATACAGGGAAATTCTTGAGGGAAACCTGTTTCAGTCTTCCAGAGATTTCAGACTGGGACGGAGGTTCACCTTCCAGCAGGACAATGACCCTAAGCATACTGCTAAAGCAACACTCGAGTGGTTTAAGGGGAAACATTTAAACGTCTTGGAATGGCCTAGTCAAAGCCCAGACCTCAATCCAATTGAGAATCTTAAAGATTGCTGTACAGCAGCGGAACCCATCCAAATTGAAGGAGCTGGAGCAGTTTTGCCTTGAAGAATGGGCAAAAATCCCAGTAGCTAGATGTGCCAAGCTTATAGAGACATACTCCAAGAGGCTTGCAGCTGTAATTGCTGCAAAAGGTGTCTCTACAAAGTATTGACTTTGGGGGGGGGGGGTGAATAGTTATGCACGCTCAAGTTTTCAGTTTTTTTGTCTTATTTCTTGTTAGTTTCACAATAAAAAATATTTTGCACCTTCAAAGTGGTAGGCATGTTGTGTAAATCTAATGATACAAACCCCCCAAAAAATCCATTTAAATTCCAGGTTGTAAGGCAACAAAATAGGAAAAATGTCAAGGGGGGTTAATACTTTCGCAAGCCACTGTATGTATTGGTCTGTATAGTGAATCAACATCCAGCATCTGTAAGCGTTTACATTAGCATAGCAAGTCACACTACTGAACTAACCCTAGCCCATAAAGCAGACTGAATGTCAAGCTGTTTTGACAGAGTCCTTCCACATGAAAGAAGTCACGATGGGACTCACCAATTAACAGGCAAATAAACTGACAGACTCACTAACAAATACATTAGACTGGAGACCTTTAGAAGCTGACACTGCATTACTTTGTGTAGTCTACAAAATGTCTGTAAAAACACACACACGCATGCACATACACAATACACATACACACATGCACGCACGCACACATACATATTGTGTACACACACACACACACACACATTTTAGATATACAGCCTGCGCCTTGTGGTCGGGATGAATGAGTCAATGTCCTACTCATGCTATCAGTTACTAAAAACAGACAAGCACACCTGCCTTCAGCAAGGGTGGGATTTATTTAGAGTTGTGATTTGAGTATCTAACGTAAAGCTCACTCTGTTTATGAAGGGGTAAATGTTTGTCCTGGTACTGGTATGCAGAACTCGGGCTGAACTTGTTGTATCTCAACAATCGACAGCAGGACAAATTTAGAAACATACACAATGTTACATCCTTTAGATGACTGTAAGTCGCTTTGGATAAAAGCGTCTGCTATATGGCATATATTATTATTATTATTATTATTATTATTATTATTATTATTATTATTATTATTATTATTATTATTATTGCACCCAAATTGCTATGTGTCACTTCACAGTTCATTAAAAAGTCCATAATATATAAATTTTTCATAGGATAGGGGAGCAGGGAAAAAACAACCACTTTAGATAATTGTCTGAGGGCAGAAACTCATAATGAGTCTGAAATGTTTGTTCCCCTTGTATGATTTCAAAACCACATAACCACCATTTCCTGAACTTTTCTCCTAAGCAACCAGCAACCAACATACATAATTCATTCCAAATGTAGTGTCCCTTTCCCCTCTAAAAACCTAGACAAATCGAGTTCCTCTTTATAGGTTCCTCACCTATAAAATGTAATTACTCACAATTGCACAATAACAGAAACCAAATCCACCCTCTTACTTTTCATGTTTGTCACGCCCTGACCTATAGAACTCTTGTTAGTTTGGTCAGGGTGTGCATGTTTAGTTTCTATGTTATGTTTTCTATGTGTAGAATGTAGGTATTGTGTTTCTATGTTTGGCCGGGTGTGATTCCCAATCAGAGGCAGCTGTCGCTCGTTGTCTCTGATTGGGGATCATACTTTAGTAGCCTGTTTGCATCATTAGTTGTGGGATCTTGTGCCGTGTATAGGCTTGTATGGTGTTTAGCCTGAGGACTTTATGTTACGTTGTTTTGTTGTTTTTGTTCGTATGTTTATTTTATAAAATAAACATGTATGCATTTCAAGCTGCGCCTTGGTCTGACCCGTCCTTCAACGAGCGTGACAGAAGATCCCACCAAACACGGACCAAGCAGCGTACCCAGGAGCAAACACCCTGGACACAGGTGGGGAAGATTTGGTCTTGGGAGGAGATATTTGCGGGGAAAGGACCCTGGGCGAAGAAGGAAGCCCAGGCAGGAGAGGAGCAACGGCAACACGGA